TGATTGTTTTGTTAAAATAATGACGGACCTTTTGTTCGTGCTCTGAGTAGAATATAATTTAGAGTGGGGTATAACGGGGTTAAATTCAGTAGATGTATAAGAGGAATGTTCACCAAAGCAGAAATAAACATACGTTAATTGGAAACTGATTAACAGACGTGTTTCATTTTACAGCTACTTGATACCAGATTACAATAGAAAATTCTCCAGGTTTTCTCTGAAGTTTGGATCAAACGGGAAAATCAACAATTAAATTAATGTTCATCTCTCAGCTCGGTATGACAAATTGGGTTTGGGTAGGGGGCCCAACGTTTTTTTGTTCAAATAAAAAAAAACTTACTTAAAGGTATTTTTTATGCTAAGCTTATTGGTTACAGATATTTACAAACGATAAACACAATATTTAGTTTTAAAAGTTATTGATCCTTATAGAGGATAAAAAGATTGTTTAGCTATAGATCGAAATAAAAAATCGATCATTATATTAGTTACTTGAAAAAACTGTATATATTTATACAATTGCTTCATTTCATATAGGATTTGAAATTTAATCGAAACCCGATTTTGTGGTCTTTTTAGCAGTCTAACTTAAATGAGGACCAAAATTGCTTATTGATTCTATACCAATCCATAGTAGAGTAAGAGTATATAAATATAAAAAATACTAAATAGACTGCTTTTTGAAACACATTTGAATAAAACTTATGAAGCGACTAGAAACTAGTTTAGTCTGGAGGTTTGATGGTGTGTATTTTAATTTAACTAGTGAACCTGTGCGGTTCAATGCCCCGCAAAATGACATATGAATCTAGAAAACAAATTCATCGTATTATATATTGACTCGACGTCGAAAATTAAATGCAGTAATAATGAAGCCTTGGAAGGGAAGCAGTTCAGCCATTCTCTAGCTGTATGTGTATTATATTTAGTAAATTAATAAGTGTTCAGGTTCAAGTATGTTATAGGCAGTGAGCAAGGTTATAGGGTAGGCCTAGTTATTTTTTAAAGATTTTTAAAACACATTTAACAAAACATTTTATCATATCAAACCAATTGGCCTATGTAGCATATTTTGAGGGTCATAAAAATGCTGCTTGAAGAAAACACACTTTTAAAAATAAACACTAAAAAAACAATATTTTTTATCACAAAATCAATTCCATGAATTTTACGATTTTAGCCTTAAAGTTACCTTCAGAAAGATTACCCTGGTCAGAGTTTTCCGTAACGAATATGCGTATCCTATTAAAAGATGTAGCCTTACTTAAAACAACATATAATATAGTTGCTCATGACTCAATTGGTCTGGGTAAGAACAGCGCTGCAAATGCCAAAGGTAACAGAAATTAGTATCTTTCCATTTTGAAAGGTAAGTTTGTTTCAGACGGGTACATTTTTATCCTCGAAATCAAAATATGTCTCCACTCACTTGTTCCAGTTAAGACTTTACATTCTATTAAGTTGTTAACCATTGATTCTGATCACATGAAGCCTTGTGCCATTAATAAGGCCCTTTTTGATATATTAATATTCCTCATCAATAAAACCACTGCCCCCTTTTATTAGTCTAATCTGTTTCTTGGCAATCCACTGACCTCTATATTTAAAAACTCAGTTGGATTTTCTAGATGGGTGTCTCCGCCTTCGTCTGTTTTTACGGACCCACTCTTCTTCCCCTTGGTATACTGACAATTAATTACCTGACTTGTCAAGTTCATGTAGTAATTCAATAATACTGTTAGTTTATAAAGAAAATTAGATAAAAGTTACTTGGCTTGGTGCTTTCATAACTGCAAACTCAAAATACACCCACAAGTAAAAAAGAATGGTTAAAAAAACTATGTGTAATAACATTATTCACATGAAGTAGATGATTTGTTTGATTTGTCGATCAGCTGTTTAGTATCAAATGAATTAATAATGTCAAAGATTTGTGATTTCAATACATAAATTATTATAGTAAAGTTTTCTAAATCATGGTAACTTGTTCTCCACTAAATTTTACTATTCCCAGCATTAAAATAAAGTATTAAGATCCATTATGGGTAAACTTTAAGGTACACAATCCTTGATTGAAATGTAGTAGGTATACATTAAGAGTCATAATACACAGCAATTATTATGTAGTAGACTTTGACTATTTTCAAGTAGCAAACATATGTTTCTGTAAATAAAAATTATCTCCCATGTTATCCTTATGGAGAAATACGAAACTTTAAAGGGCTCCAGGGCCTCAATATCTCATTATTTCCCTAAAAAGAAAGTTTCCTGCACAACTTCACGTTACCCTCTTTCCAATGACACCAAAAACATGTCAATATTTATATTTCTGTTTATTTATATTTATGTTTCTGTTTATATTTTGTTGTTATTTCGTCATCACCATAGCAACCCATAAGACCCATGTTAATTTTTTAAAATTTCAAATTAATTTTTTGTGCTTATTTTTGAGCCTATTTTAATTTATAAAGGGATTCTGCACACCTACAGGAAAATAGCTTTCTAACGGTATGCATAATTATTGTTTTATTATTTTATATTTTATATGTTTATATTTTATATTTTATATAGGTCTGTGATAATCCGTAATGATAATAGATGTGCAGAATCCCTTTATAAGTTAAGTTAAAATAGAGAAGTGAGTACATTACATTACTTTGGTCGAGTTTCGACCACTGGACGACCTCTCGAAAAAAAATACAATGCCATACGTACAAAGAATGCGTCCTCTGCTATTTAATAACATTAGGTATAATGAGGTACAGCAAATGCATCATACTGCACTTTAGGATTGAATTCCATTGTTGATTTAGCAATGTTTTGTAAACATTAGTTTATAGATTAGCTTGTTTGCGTTGAACTGATTATGTTTCAACTTTCAACACATTGTGCTGGAAAACTAACATTACCTTGATGTGTTTTAGTGACATATAATCCCGTCATGTGGTGTTATTACTTGGAAATAGCGATGCACACATAAAGTGCGTATTTTAGCTGAATAAAGCTAGGAGAGTATAGAATGGTGTGAAATAACCTGTGAAGCTTTTTAATTACTATCAGCTGTTTATTTAACAAGGATCTATTAAACATCCTATTATAAAAAACAGCTGTTTGGTTTAATTTCTAGTACATGAAAAAATATCGTCTCTAAACCCAGATTGCTTATTATTAGGCTATCAATATTAATGATGCTATTTAACAATAATTAGGTCGACGTTAGGTAGTAAAAAGACTAGGAGTTGAAAGAGTCCCTCCAATAGCATACGAACTTAACATTTATTTACAGTTAAAAATATAACAAAAGTTAACCAAATTGACAAAGCTGACACCCATATTTACGCCAGCAAATGCTGAAGTATCCATTTTAAATCTCGTCAATCCTCGAAAACGTCCTGAGAAACATCCATTTGGAAAACGAGACTACAATGAAGGATTGTACCATTCCCATTTATCACAGTTTCATTCGTCATTGAATCCTGCGCCGTTCTGTGCTCTTACACTTGAATTAATGATTCACAAAAGTGAATAAGTATGCGTTATAGTGTCACGAAAATTAAAACTAGTAGGAAAAAATAAACATGTGAAATGTGGTCAGAGATCTTCAAAAAACATACAGCTTTCTCCATTGGATCCTCGACCTAAAGTGGGTTCAGAACCACAGGGACATCGACAAACTGCCGATTGAAGGGATCCAACCCAAGTCCTTAAGTCACAAATTCTGCGCTCTAAACCAATATTTGAGCAATACTTCTGTTATATTTTATTGAATTTTAAACAGAATATCAAAAACATTTATTTTTAAACCTTACTTTTTTATATTAAATTTACCATACCTTCCTTAAAACATATTTGGGATTTTTAAATTGATTGGGTCTAAGCTTTAAACTTCTTGTTTCTCGTATATTTGAGAAATAATTTTAAGTGTCGAGATTAAAATTGGGAACTCAAGTTGAACGAAGGCACTTACGTAATTAGTTTATTATAAAATTCAAACCACTTCAGTAGGCCAATTAAGGTATTTAAAATGGTTGAGGGCAGATTTAATATTCACAAAAAACTTTCAAAGAAAAAGTCATAAACATTTTTAATATGCAAACAATTTAATTCCTTTTAAGCTTTCCCAAAGATTTCTCAACAAAACCAAGAGATGACTTTTTTTCTTTTGCTAGATCGATAGCCTGACAATGGTGATTGGATACCACAAACTCTGTTAATTCATCTTAAGATCCCAATAGGAGTGTTTACTGTTTACTTATTGAATTAATTCAGAACAAGCAGAGACAAATAATCGAGAAGGTTCCTGACCTCATAGTGTAACTTGAAGCCCTTGACTCCCTCATAGCAAAACCAAAATCTCAAGCAAGCCCTAATTCACCAACTGCGATCACTTATAGATAAATCAATTTGCAAAGTGCTGACCAGGGTTCACCTGGTGAAATTAACACTACTAAAAGTTCAAAAAGTGCTAAAGGAACTCACGTAAGTCTAAATATCTTACCTTGAGACTTTATCAAACTAATACTACTTCTAGATTCAAATTCATTTGCAAGCCTGATTTGCGATCAGTTTTACAAAACGAAACCTACCAATACAAAACCTCCAGAGCCCCTATAAACACAAACATTGTATTACCTTTAAAACACTAGATAGCAAAATTATGATCACTTCTAGATTTACTTGCAACCATTGTTCACAAGACTCCTTCAAAGATCAAAAGATACAAATACCCAAATAATTATAAACATTTTATCAACCTTTAGACTCGCCACTCGAAATTTAACGTATATGATTATGCCTACTTCTGGTACAAATTAGTTTGCAAGTGAGATTAATATTTAACCAGGGTCAGGAACTGACACCTACAAAAACCCTCTCGAAAGAAGTTCCACTATTATTACCAATCAGTTATCAAATTTGAGGCTAGTGTTACAATTAACCTTAATACTTTAGTGTCATCATTTTGACCATTATTTTGTATTACAAAAGTGCAAGTTACTGACCAGGGGGACGCAGCGACCGTGGTCGGCGTTGGCCGTATCACATGTTGCAGCTCCGACCTCCGAAGGCGCACAACAGGTAGTGGCGGCCGTGACGTCAGAACTGCCCTGCTCGCTGATTGGTCGACAGCGCGCCGTCGCACCTACGCCACTCAATAATACACGCTTAATAAATCATCCCGAGCAACAAGTACGTTTCTGTCTAAAATGTCGTTTTGATACGCTTCGTTTGAAGCGCCACATATTTCTTGGTTTTCAAATTTGGAGGGTAAAATGTCAATAGAATTTTTTTTAGTTCTGAAAGATCAGCTACAATCATGAACTGAGTTTAATATTGAATCGACAAGTCTCATCAACTGATTAACAACCTACTGTATTGTAGTTGGTCGGTTATAGACCTAAGCATCGCTATGTGAGGGATTTTGGTTACGGACATATACGTTATTGATATTTGTTGGAGATGGTTATTCACATATTTTTCATGAAATTCATCATCATCAGAAGGAGTCCTGAACTTCAAATAATCTTAGAGGGATGGGATATTGATCACAAAAACTAGAAACGATTCCAAATTCTTTTTTATAGGGATATTTCTTATTGGGTGTAATGTCTCACAGGTCAATGCGTTAACGGAAGCTGTTCTGGACATAAGCTTCGTAAAATTATTCATTATTCTTTCTTCTAGTTCTGTTAATATTTTTAGTATAAATTTTATCCTCCTGAAGCTGTTCTATATCACATAATGTGATCACTTAACTTGTTCAAACTTAACTGGTTTGGCTATCCCGTGAAATGTATTTGGCTTATTAGTAATATTCCCGTATTGTAACACTTCTAGTCGAATTCGTTGAAAAAAATATGAATTTCCTGTTGTAGTCCTAGCGACATAGCCTACCTATGTCGTCTCATTGGAATATTTATAACGAAAACAATCATTCTATAGTGTTGCCTTTGCACGACCTACATAAATCAATTGTGTTGCGGAACTGATGGTGTTACCGGAATCAGCTTTTGGTAGTGGATTTCGACATTTCCCCATCGTAACAATTTGCTAATACTGAACCATATTCATCAATTTTAAACGTGTTTATCCTGATAAGATGTAATTTTCCTCCAGCAGTTGGACATTTTTTGGCCTAGGGGAATATTTTTCTGTAACAGTTCTGGACGTTTGCCGTATGGGAATATTTTCTATAACAGTTCTAGAAGATTGCCTAGTGGGAATATTTTCTGTATCATCTGGACGTTTGTCTAGCAGTAATATTTTCTCCTCTGGCCATTTTCTAGTATGCGTATATTTCCTATAGACTACCGGTAGTAGTTCTGGGTATTTTTCTTTTGGGAATATTTTTCCTGAATCAATTCTGGACGTTTCTCTAGCAAGAATATTTTCTCCTGCAGTCTTTACATCTTTACAGATATACAATGTAAATTAAAACAGAATCGATAATACTTAAACTTTTATGAACTGCATACCCCCCCCCCCCCCTATCTAGCATACAATTATCCACCCACCGCTTGAAGAGTGGATAGGCTGTATGACAAAGAACTTGTAACCTTTTGATGCTTGGTTTATTGTTACGGCAACCTATTTTTACGCCGGCCGGCTACTTTTAGAGTATCAATACTGTTATTGCTATTTTAATACTTTGTGATATGACAGATACTTTACTAGTGACGAGTGGGTAGAAAATGAAAAGTGGTAAGGTCAGCTAAGAGAAAACCAAAACATGTTCCTGAATAAAATGTAATTTTAACTTGCCTTAAAATAAATACTGATCAATATAAAACTACGAGTCATAAATTAGTTTAAATAAATTCAAAGAGGAAAGAAGTATTTGTTCTACACTACCCTAAAAAATATCTATGCTTTTAAAAGCAACTGTTAGATGTAGCTGAGTGGTTATAGTGCTCACCTAGTAATCAAAAGGTCGCCGGTTCTATTCTGAGAAAAAAGATGAGAAGTTTTTTTGAAGATGTGTGTTGCTAGCCTACTAGTGTATCAAACTTGGTGCAGGAGGGACGGGTTTGATTCCCAGCTCATGTTCTAATATTCATGAGCATACCCACAAACTATACAGGGTGAGGCAGTGAAACGACACGATTCCGATACCAGCTGTTAAGGACACCGTTTCATTGCCTCACCCTGTATTAGCTTGGACCGCTTCCAAAAAGCATGTGAAACCATCATTAACCAATAAATTACTGCACTTCAATAAACAAATAACAAATCTAAACCAAGTTTTTCAGAAAGTTTAATTGGAATACCAATTTAGTTTGAATGTTGAATGAAGATGACTGACTTGAAAATGTTATGTATTTTGTTAAACATCATTTGGATTTGCAGATAACTTTATTTCCTGGAAAACTTTTTCATGACCTTTCCTGATTCCCTTTGGAAAGGGAATTATGGTCCGGACAACTACTATTATGTTTGACAGTTGCACAATATACAAGTATAAGGAAAATTGTACCTCAAATGCCTGCTTCATAAGGTCTGAATTCCATTCTGTCTAAAGAATTTAGATGGATTTTTGTATCAACTGTACTTTTTAATACTGAGATACTGAACATTATTCTGTCAAATATTTTATATTTGACACCATATATCACCAAATATAAATTATTCCATCAAATATTTTATATTTGCCTCATTTTGATTGAACATTATTGATTTTATATCTGGTACCTACAAACAAGACATTACCTACATTAACCTGTTGGTATAAAGACATTTCTGGTTTAAAAATCATCTTTTATCCAAACTAATGATAGAAATAAACATATTTTGTCTACATGATATTCTTCTGTATCCAATAGTCAATGATATTAGCAAAGTTAAAACTCTGTATATTAAATACTGCTTAAAAACAAAAATATTTCTCTAAAACAAAGAATTTCAAGACGAGGATGTAAAAGAACAGTTCACTTTCTAGATAAACAATAGTTTATTTGAGATATGTACAATGATAAATATATGTACTACGGCTATAATGTAAATGAATTGCCCAAATAAACATCTAGTGAAATTAACCACTGGAGATTTTCGGAATGTTGACTTCCCAACCAATTAGTATGAAAGCTTTATTGGAAACCTGAGTATTTGTACAATTATTTACATGAACATGAACTATGCAGATGATTCTTAAACCTTTTATAATTAACCGCCACAACAAAACTTGACTTTCAATTTTCAGATCAGCTAATTATGATACATCCAAAATACAATCAAATTAGTTAGGATGATCATGCAATAAATAAATCCAAAACAATTAATTTTTTAGTTTAAGATCACAATTGGTTGTAATTTTACTGTATTTCCAATGATTTTATCAACACACAAATTATCTCTACAATTACTAGAATTGAAACTATTTCAATGTTGGAATCAAAGAATACATTCAATATTAAATTGAAAAAACAAAACTGAATTTATAAACATTTTGATTTAGTAGGTTTCTTGTCAACCAGCCACCTCAGGAACAAGACTGAGGCCTGATAATGATTTTAACATTAAAACTTCACAAATTTGATAAATTAAGAGTTTGGTTAACAAAATGGTATATTATTACTTGAATTTGAATAACTGATAAACAATGTTTTTTTTTTCAGTCTTAACGTTACAATTTAATAAACTTTAAGTGTTAATGCAGTACTTTGTTTTAAAATAGCCGATTAAGAGGTAATAATATTTTCATCACTTCGTACAGAAAAAAGCTATTTTTCCGATATCAGCTGTTGTCAAAGAAAGCAAATTGCTTTCCAAATTTACTTTCTCTTGCTCTCAATCAGTTCGCCATTTACTAAAAACATTAATGTTTCTTTACCACCTACTATTATAAATCAGCCGGTTTTACTGTTCATTCATCTAAATGTAAACTAAATAGGCAAAAGCAAATTTTTGCAGTATTTTTAGCATAGTGTGCTTAAAAAAATGCCTCCAATATATCTAACATCCCTTATAATTCTATGAAAAGATTCAGACATGACAGAAAACCTTCCACCACAGAAATAAAATAGTTTTACTTTTACTGAGTTCTGTTATTCTGTATGTTTTTTTGTGTAGTGATAAGTATTGTCCATAACTTGAAACAAAAGTGATTTTTCCGGTATTGAATCACACACAAAACTTAAATGTGCATTAGAAAATATCCCTTGTACTTGTAATGAAATATAATATTCTTGTCAGGGTGGGCTGATAAAATGTTTGGCCAGTTAATATGGAGTTATTGTAGCTTTTTAGTTCTGAATAATAATCACATAAACACCCTCGTTGAGGTTAAAAGTTTGTCAGTTGGATATGTGGAAAATTGTGATCCGGATCTTTTGTTCTTATTAATAACTATTTTATATCATGTATTTATTGAACATGTATTTTAAGTACCACAGGTATAAGATTGTGTATTGATCTTTTCGTTAAATTTTGTACATTAGGCCTACATAAATGTTTTTAGTTAAACTAGTACATCTGTATTTGAATCGGTGAGACATAATCTGTGTAAACAAATATATGCAAATTTTATATTCTTACCTAATCAATTATCAGCTAAGAGCTAGGGAAACATCTAAGAGCTTGCTTAACATCCATAAGAGTATTATTGAACTTACAAGTCCATAGATACAAAGCCCTATATATTTTTATAACAGACTCTTAGCGCTTATCTTAATTATAGAGAAACATTTTTTGAGTGGCATATTAATCTTCTAAGACACCCTTATTTTAAGATTGCAGCTAAAATAAACTGATTTCTTTTACTTTTATGAAAATGATCAAACTCAAACCGCAGACATGTTTATATTTCTGTATGAAAATATTTAATGACGAGAAACTAAACACAAAAATAAAAGTTTTCATTGTTTAGCCTTAAAGAAGCCAAAAAATAACACATAATATAACTTAAAGCTATCAAATAAATTCCAACAACTGAAATAACCGATGCAAACATTTAATTGTAAATTAAACTAGAATCTCAGTATAAAAACAAACACTGCACAAAAATGTAATAAAATAAATATATAATAACAAGAAATTCCTAACTGTAAAATACTAGATGAAAATAATACATTTCCTAGTGACAATTTAAGGTCTATGAACGTTTACCACAAAACTAAATGCTTAACAGAAAATGGGCGGCTACATACAGTAAGGCTCAATTCATTCACATAAAACTCTACTTGAGCTAAGATACCGAAACTACCCACCAACCCCGGGAAAGCTAATTCGGCTTAGATCCTGAAATATGCGGTCGATTACAAAAATAGATCGATCTATCCGGATTCCGAGCGACAATCGAGACGATAAACGATAAATGCTAAGTAATATTATCACCATATCTTGTACACCAAGATAAGATTTCAGACTAGCAGACAGAAATAACGTTTCGAGGAGTGTTATTTATTAAAAAAAAGTATCACAAAAGCCTAGTTAGCTTTGAATTGTAAGCACACTTCCAAAACGAATTTGATACTTTATGATTTGAGGAAAGTCGAATGACCTCACGAGGAGTGGACGCTGAACTCTCGTTTGATGTAGAAGAGAATGTAAGGCTTACATTTAGCCACTACTTCTAGCTGTGTCTGACGGACCGAGCTGTCGTTGAAGTGCCACCACTGGCCTGTGAACACAACATGTATCAAAGTGAGCTTACCTTTGAGCCAGAAATGGGAGTGGTTCCTTAACAAAAGATGGATAGAAACACACAAGGAAGAAAAAAAGTGAAAGATTAGGTCTTTAAAGGTTAGTTTTGTTCAAGGAAGGCTGTAGGCCAGAAATTTTGTTTGTAGAATCAAGAGATAGCAGGTAGATTACCTTAGAAGAAGTACGAGTACTAGTTTAGGATTGGTTTCACATTTTAACAGTCTGAGCAGAGTTTTCTTCAAAGTTTGTTTCATAAAACATTTAAAATGGATTAGTGATTAAATGGGTTTGAATGTTAGATATGATATGTAAAACTGATAGACAACGGCACTTGTAGTCTGAAGATACTTTTAACTTATCTTTATCTGAGGTATTGAGACTATTAAACCTGCTAATAATCGATATTATGATTGTTGTAATAAACCCCATAACTAAACACTGGACAGATTTGGAAACTTACCATCATTTATTGCGAATGCTGTGTAGTGTCCTGATCCAGCACTAAAACATACAAACACAAGTTAAACAATTAATAGTGATGCAACTTCACTTTTTTTCCTAAACACACCTTAATCAGCAACAAGGCTTTCCTTCTAAATATATATTTGTTCACTTGGGTATTTAGGTTTGTTGAGGAGTCACAAATTTTGTATTAATAAGGCTGTAGAATGTAATTTTATCAACGTTTTGGTTATTTTTTTGCGGGACAGGCCACATCTCACTCCCAGTTTAGCCAACACACATAGAAAAAGCTGAAAAATGATATAGGGTGTTCCATATGTAAGTACAAATACTTTGGGAATAGGTTTTATGGATGAAAATAAAAATAAAATCTAGAGTATCATTATTTCAGAAACACCTTGTTATTGAGATATTCAGAAAATTTTTGTGAAAGTTAGAACCTATACGATTTAAGATAGCAATTAACTAGTTGAAAAAAAAAAAAAAATATTTTTGGTTTCAAAACGGCAGCCATTTTAATGTTTAGGCAATACAGTAGAACCCCTGATATCCGGCCTTGGTTTTTCCGGTCCTCTGTTTATCCGGCCACTTCCAGGAAGCCAATATCAAAATGTTTTTCTCAAAGCTTACAGACGTTTAGATGCAAGCACTAGTCTTTGCGACTTGTTTGAGCTAAACTATTTATCTGAACTATTTATCTGTTTGTTTCAATACATTTTACTGTTTCACTAAACTCAGTTGAACTAGGCCTAACCTCTAAACAGTTGGGGGTTGGGAAATTAATCTTTGTATTTATTTCACAAAAAAGGATAAGAAAGTTGAGTAGAATTATATTTACTATTAAGGTCCTAAAAATCTTCAAGGCTAATTTAATGTAACTTTTACCTCCATCGTTTAATAGTTTTTGTTACCTGAAATCTTAATTTCAGGGTTTTTTTAACAACTTTAGCCTACAAATAATTTTTTTTATTTGTACAAACATGTTAATTCTTCAAAAAATAATCCTAGAATAGACTTAAATGATACTTTTGACAGCATGTTTTGATTAAATATTATTATAGGTATGAATCATTTTCATTTTTGTAGTAGGTTGGTTTATCCAGCCAAATCACTATCCGGCCAGGGGCTTGGTCCCGTGGTGGCCGGATATGAGGGGTTCTACTGTACCTTTATTATTGAAGTTGTATGTATGTTTTACAGGGACAATCAAGATGCTTAGCGTGATGAGGGCCCTAATGTCGTTGTTCACTTCACCGATGAATCACCAACTACAAAACTGATGAATTGATAAGTTACAGCTTTGAAATTAAGTTATAAGGTGGTCTACACTAAACTGCATTAAAAACGTAATTTTTACCAAAGCCTTAACTAACTGTAGCTTAACTAGGTATATATTTAAAGTCAATATTAGTTGTTTCCCGGGCATTTTAGGTTAGGTTTGCACTATCCCCATTCACTCTGCCACTCATTATCGTGGATACTCATGGGTGTTCTATACTTTAAACTCACCCAGACCCATGGTGGACTACTACAGCAGCGAGATCGTAAAGGTTGGAACCACTGAGGCGGGTGTCTGGTAGATCACTGAGCACAAACTGCGACATGTCTAGAGCCGACACTGGGAACTGGATGTTAATGTCTATCTTGGTTCGCCAGAAGTTGTTCCACCGAAACCGCTTCAAGTGTAGACACAGCACCTGAAACAAATCAATTACTTACATTCCAGGGTAATGTGTTAACCTTGGAAATATCTTAAAACACATCCTTCGCAATGGAATTTTGTGTAATTTGACACAGCTTTAAACATTTTAAATTATCTTCCACAATTGATAGAAGTGGACATTCCATTTGTCAAAGAAGCCAGTTTCAGAATAAAAAAGAGCATAAATTTTATGTCTTCGGGCAACAACTATTTGAATAAACACTTTCATTCATTGAACGATGATTACGTATTAAGATTAAGATACATCAACTGTACGGAAGAAAATCACTCTTTAACAAGGCCAAACGTCAGAGAATGATAGTGTTTCGTCGCTTTTGACACCAGAAGATCATCTATTTACAATAATTGACTGAGTACACCTATTCAGTAGGGATGGACAGGTCTTGAAATGTTAGAAAATTTAAAATCTCGTTCTACAAGACAAGATTTGATTTTGACCATAATTTTAATAATTCATTTTAATAACTAGTAAGACTGATGTTTTATGCTGATACAGTATTTTTTAGTGATGGTCGGATCCGAATATCGGACAACCATTTCCGATCCAAAAAATTCCGGATCTTGGGCTGGATCCGGTTTTGATGGATCAGATTTTTCCCTGATTTTTTTGCTAACATAAAGCTGTCTGTATCCATGTACAAGACCAGTTTTTCCCGATTTTATACTAACACAAAGCTGTCAATATCCATGTACGCTCATCTGGACTAAAAGTGGCGGACGTCCGGTCCGGATTACGAAAAATCCGGACTATCGAGAGTCGAGCAAATACACACTAAAAAATACTGTATATGGCCGTTTTTTCAATTTTGTTCCAGGTCCACAGTAATGATTGCCGGTCTTATGCACTTCCATTGGTAATAATTTTTACCGCCGAATTTAGTTCCAGGTCCACAGTAATGATAGCCGGGCATATGCAATTCAACCGGTAATAATTTTTACCACTGAATTTAGTTCCAGGTTCACAGTAATGATAACCGGGCATATGCACTTTAACCGGTAATAATTTTTACTGCCGAATTTTGTTCCAGGACCACAGTAATGATAGGTGGGCATATGCATCCTCCACCAGTAATAATTTTTACCACCGAATTTTGTTCCAGGTCCTCAGTAACGATAGCCGGGCATATGCACTTCCACCGGTAATAATGTTTACCGCCGAATTTAGTTCCAGGTCCACAGTAATGATAGCCGGGCATATGCATTTCAACCGGCAATATTTTTTACCGCCGAATTTAGTTCCAGGTCCACAGTAATGATAGCCGGGCATATGCACTTTAACCGGTAATAATTTTTACCAACGAATTTAGTTCCAGGTCCACAGTAATTATAGCCGGGCATATGCACTTCCACCGGTAATAATGTTTACCGCCAAATTTAGTTCCAAGTCTACAGTAATGATAGCTGGGCATATGCAGTTCCACTGGTAATATTTTTTACCGCCGTATTTTGTTCCAGGTTCACAATAATGATAGGCGGGCATATATGCATCTTCCACCAATAATAATTGTTACCACCGAATTTTGTTTCAGGTCCACAGTAATGATATAATATTTTTTTACCGCCAAATTTTGTTCCAGGTCCACAGTAATGATAGCCGGGCATATGCACTTCAACCGGTAATAATTTTTACTGCCGAATTTTGTTCCAGGACCACAGTAATGATAGGTGGGCATATGCATCCTCCACCAGTAATAATTTTTACCACAGAATTTTGTTCCAGGTCCTCAGTAACGATAGCCGGGCATATGCACTTCCACCGGTAATAATGTTTACTGCCGAATTTAGTTCCAGGTCCACAGTAATGATAGCCGGGCATATGCATTTCAACCGGTAATATTTTTTACCGCCGAATTTAGTTCCAGGTCCACAGTAATGATAGCCGGGCATGTGCACTTCAACCGGTAATAATTTTTACCCCCGAATTTTGTTCCAGGTCCACTGTAATGATAGCTGGGCAAATGCACTTCCACCGGTAATAATGTTTACCAAACCGGTAATAATAACCGGTAGTAATGTTTAGGCCCTACACCGGTAATAATGTTTACCACCATGTTATCCGGTTAATCGGTCTAATAAAATCGGGAAAACATCGGTCTTGTATGCCTGGATCACCCCTTGCTTATCTCTCTTTGTTATTCGTTCCAGGTCCACAGTACTGATAGCCGGGTATGTGAAACTCTATAGGTAAAATACCCTGTGTCTGAGTACAAGAAGATTATCTGTGTCCATAAAGGGTAAATAAAAAAGTCAAGACTCCCCCATCTAATATTTTTCTAAGTTAGAACACAGTACAGTCTTCTTGAACACAGACACAGGGTATTTTACCTGTAGAACTTCACATACCCGTCTATGAGTACTGTGGACCTGGAACGAACTTAAGGAAGAGATTAACAAGAGGTGATTCAGGCACAGATAAATTGGGTGCTGCATTCAAAGACCTCGATATAGCATACTCAAAATCAAACTATAGTAAAATACACACAGATATCCTTTTGGTGGTCGTGCAAACTTGGGACAAAGTTTCATTTTATGATTTTGAAAAGTTTCCCGAAAAAATTAGGGATTATGGGCTCAACTGGAGATTACTCTGTACATAAGATGTATTAATCTTTACACATTACCAATTTAATTTTAAACAGTATGATTTAAATTTACATTTTTATAATTACGGTTTTTTTAACCCGCCCTTATGACAGTGTATATCTGGACCTGGATTCGAAGATCCGGATACAAATTTTTCAAGATCTGGATCCGGATCCTGTACCGACATTTTCTTGGATCTGCCCACCACTAGTATTTTTCAAAGCTCTACTATTGTAAATTAATACTTAACACGTAAGACTGATGTTTCAGACAAAAAGATTTTGTATTTATCAAAGTTAAACTATGTCCTAACTGATATCACCATGTTTCCTACCTATGTGTAATAGTTATTTTTAACAAGGTAGTCCTAAATGGTATATGTTTTCTTATACTGATGTTTTTTATTGATGTTTTGTATTAAAAGATTTTAAATATTCTTGCTTATTAATTCTTTTTTATATTTTGTTTTTAGAAAAAAAGCATCTAGCTTGGATTAAATAAACCAAGCTAAATGTAGCTAAACTTCATCCTACACATTTATTTTTATAATTTACCAGTCTCTCATAAATCAGTAGGTATTTAAAATTTAACAAAATCAGGTTAAAATGGCGAGCATGCATTTTCTGATGTGTATGAGAAAGGAAATACAGTCTCAATCTCGTCTCGAAATTTTATGAAAAATAAAATATCCCATCTCGTCTCATCTCTAACTATAAATCCAATCTCGTCCATCCCTACTATTCAAGAAAAGCAGTTAAATCCTCAAGAGCGTGCTGATGTAACATAACAATTTCTGTTGAGAGGTTAACTGTAAGAAAGGACCATGAGGTCCTAAGTTCGCCTCAATAAAGAAGGATTTTCATTCATTCATTCAATCTAACTCTCAGATATTCTTGTTTCTCCAGTCATCCTGATCTTGGATTGGGACAAATGTTTTCCTCAATCCTCATTGAAACAGTTACTTGGATAGAAGGCAGTATGCGTATCGAAAACTTACATTTGGCAGTCTGCGTATCCAAAACCGCTTGGTAGACCTTTGTTTGCTTTTACAGTTGTTGCAGTAGTAAAGCTCTGTTTCCGCCAACTCCTCTACTTGAATGAAGCTTGTGAGACAGTCTGTAATTTAAGAGTTATGATCAAATGTCTTTTACTTCATCCTGAAAAAATAGTTCAAAATTTTATTTTGTTTTTAGCTTTTAATTGCTGCTGTAAAAATACTTCAATACCCATCATAGCCTTGAGGATAACTTCCATATTTATGCAACATGGAATAATAATTTGGAAAGATCTTTCAGCCATGGATACCAACCTCAGGATAGAAAAGACAAATATTTAAAAAAAATCATTGATTTGTGTGTGTTTAGGTAATTGGTAATCTTTATGGTTTTTTTAATGGTCCATGTTTTGAAGTTGCATAAATCGAGTTTGGCTTACAAAACTGTAGAACCTCCTTCAGACATTTATTTTTACCATCACAATTTACAAATATTTTTATCAAACCTTTCACAAAAATCTTGTAATTGTAGTAGTGTAATTAAACAACTCAACAATCTTATTCATGTAAAATCAAATATGCCTAATGTAACTCTTATCCCAGTGATATTCAATATCCCAATATTAACTTACCTAGAATATTACACGGAGAAATAGGTTCATCACTAGAATCTCTGTTTTTCTTTTGATAACACTTTTCTGGAATGTCCAAAGAGAGGTCTAGAAACGGATCGTGCTTCTTCGACTCAACATTGCAGTTCAAGCATGTGACCTAAAAAAATAAATGCTATCAACAAACTGACACATTCTTCTTCCTATCGGTTTGCTTTTGGTCATTGTTCTCTTCAAAAATGTTAAAAATTGTCCATTATTAAAATTTAAAAAAGTGCAAGAAAATACCTTGGATTATTACTAACATCCCGAATTTAATTAAAATCACATCACAGGTGAAGTCTGTAGTTTTTTTTTTTTTTTTTTTTTTGTTTTTTTTGAGATATTTAGGATTTTTTGGGGAAAATCATAAAATTAACATTAGTTTTAGAACCGTTATTTTTAATGTGTTGAAGGTTGTGGATTGCAAGGACTATAAGTTGGTAAGCAAACATACATTTTGTAGGTCCAAAGGGAGGTCTCAAAATGGTTTATGTCTCTTTGTCTACACTCGAAAACTACCCCAGGGGACAAAATATTGTGTTTTATTTCTTCTGTGATTTATATGGTCTTCAAGTACTTCTAATATAAGCTAACTGCCATCGATTCATTCAACAGATCAAAATTCTGGCCTAGACCCTATTCTAGAACAAAACTAGCTTTTTAGACACTTGTTGTAAAGTACCTCGCTCTGTAGTGTGCCTCCAAAGACACTAGTGACGATGGATGATTTCCCTTTGTGTCCCAGCAAATACGGAGACTCAGGCAGTAGATGTAGCAACTCTGTGTGCAGTCTGTCCAGCATGTAGCGCAGGAACTCATGAGCATCTTGTTGTTGATAGCCTCTGTAACAAACAGTAAGGGACATGTCCGTTTCGGTTGTCGGTTTTACAATACTTTAGCAAAAACTAAAACCAAGAATTTATTGAAAATTTTGGGTTCGGTTTATTAGTTTTTGCTCAGTCTTGACATAGTCATATGTCATGATTGCGAGGTCTTCACGATCACTGGCTACAATAATGTCTTGGCAAACATTCACACTTTCCGCGAAACGTGAGAAACAAAGATCATGATGAAAACGATGTTGGGATCAACAAGATCACAAAAGATATTCTGTATTTGACTGTGATCACAGACGAATATGATGACGTCTTTGCAATCGCAGGAGATGTTTTAAGATTTTCCTGCGATCGCGAAACAATAATTATTTCCAGCGATCCCCCCTTAATACATTTTTTTTATTGTGAGCTTAGTTGAGGAGTTTTTAAGTGGTATTTTTAACATACTATTCAGTACAAGGAAGCATGAGGAGGGGTATTCCTAAACTGCTTAAAAATGATGTAACCCCTAATGCTTCAAAAAAATATACCTATATATATACATATGACTACACTTTGATCTAAACTTAGATCAAAAATACTAGCAAAGTTAAATTATAAAAACCATTATTATTTTTTCAGTCTCATCTTTCGTGCTTTTGCTCACACAGTTTTTACTCTTAGTAGATTCCCTTTTAAAGCCAAGATTAAGTAAAATGTACGATAAAATGGCATTAGAGCCATAAATTAGGCATCTATTGTAGGCTATGTTACAACTTTGCTTCAGAAAAGTAACTTTATATCAGAAAAGTAAAATATTAGTCAGGGTGTAAAAACCATTTCTAGACTGTATTCCCAGTGAGTTATAAATATTATTGAATTGAAGTTCCTTCTAAAAGATTGCAACTGAAGTTTTATCACAGAAATTTAAGTTACACTAGGCCTATATAATAAGTTTGAAAACACAAGGAAAAAGTGTCCAGTTGCTTAAAAATCTTATGATAATGATTCAAAAATAAAGTCAGAAAACATCCAAACCTACCGGAACCTAGGTACAACTTTCCAAATGACGAGGAACAGAGACTCTGGCGAAATAGCAGACTTGCTGGCTCCATTATCCGTCAGGCTGATGATGATCTTACGCAGCTCCTCCGCCATGATGGCGTCATTGAGTTCTCGGAAACTGCGAGACTGGTAAACCTTGCTCCGACCCACTCCTTTGATGTTGTCTAGTGACGGCAGCTTCTTGAAGTACACGCGAAACTCTTCTATATTGCTGCAATTAAAATGATTGACTAAGATGCTAAAATACAGGTATTTCAGAGTAAAAAGGATTTTAACAATTTATTAAACTCATTAAATTGCACTTAAAGAATACAAAAACCAACTGGAATGTTAATTACTGGTACCATTAAGTAATTTCACATGGCGTAACTGGGTACTGTACACAATCAATGTAAGGCTGCTTTCTGAGGTTGATATGGTTCAACATCATGTCCAGGCACACAATCTAACATAATCAAGATTTATTCTCTTTGGGTTTCACTAAGTATCTTGTACAGGGTGTCCACCAGGCCAACCAGAAAAAATATGCATGGTAATTCCAGGTAGTTCAGGTCCTAATTTTCATACCAAACTTTCCAACACGTTTTTGCGCCAACTCCCATGCTGTTTTAGCGCTAACACAGTTTGTTATTTTAATTATCGAAAAAAGCATTCTCAGTTAAAGAAACAAAATTTATGATTACCGGTACCTACTGTAATATTGCATGACAGAAGTATTCAATTTGTATATATTATTGATTAAATAATCAGAAAATTTAAAACTAATCCTCAATCCTGCAATTTATCAATAACTTCTTTGAAATAGTGTTATGTCGATACCAAAATTTATCGAATCTCCGTACCGACACCTGAAAAATACATTCTTAACACGTTGGGTGCTGATGACGGGAATTCCCGCAATTGCTTAACATTGAAATAAATGCAACTTTTATGTTCAAACATGTCGATAGCACGAATAGTGTTAATAGGCTACTGATAATTATATTTTACCAAATTTTCTGTAAGGAATACTACACCAAACCGTCTTTATGTACTTTCATATGGTATGTAATTTTGGAGTTGTGGGTTGTTTTTCTTATGGAGTTATGGAATTAAGTGGCCTACAGAAATAATTAGGTAATGCAGAAATTACAAAAATTTCACATAGCCACAATTTAGGTTTTAAACACATTAATAAATATCACGTTAAAGGTATAAATGAAGATTTTACAAAAAATATAAAAATAAAACTTTCTAGAAATTGTTAAAATTTAGAAGGTTATAGTATCTTGATCTACCACTGTCATACAGACACTATCATCGTTTTCTCTGATAACCGAAAAATCCTGAATATCTCCCTCAGTAACAGGAAACACCACCACTGTCTTACGTGGTTGTGACAAAATCCTGATATTGTTCAGAGGTAACGGAAACATTATAATTGTTTCCCGCGATCACAGAAAAGTAATCATCAATTCTTATAACAAATCACATGGCCGTTTGGACATCATCATCGTCTCTTGCGCTCACGGAAACACCATCATCGCCATGCACAATCACGGCAAAATCACTAAAAAATCCCGTGGCCACTTAAGAGTTTGGACATCATCATTGTCTCCCGCGGTCACGGAATCGTCACTGTCTCCTCCCATGGTCACAGAAATGTCATTGTCGTCTCCCGCGGTCATGAAAAAGTCATCGTCGTCTCTCGCGGTCACGGAAACACCATCGTCATCTCCCACGATCACAGATCGTGATCGTAGTCTCCCACGGTCACGTAATTTTCATGCCTGATAGCGGAAAATTGAAAATTCCTGGTGAAATACGAAATTCACGCATAATTCCCGGATTTTCAGGTCGGTGGACACCCTATTGTAGCCTACTCTATTACACACCTCCGGGACTAGATGATATAGATATAGAAAAGAATTGAAACTTAAAAATTAGGTATAGTGAATCCATAACACAATTGCCAGGTCACACTATCATTTTTAATCATTATTATTGATTCTGTATTACCTGAGAGATTGTAGAACTGCATTCATGAAGCAAGTGTTCCCTAAATTACGAAGTCCTACCACTTTCTTTTCACGTTTCACAGTTTTGAGGTAAGTGTTGCTGGTTGTCCGTCTTTTTCGAGGGTAGGCCTTCTCGTTTTCTACACTTCCATTTTCAGTGCTCCCTGTACTACTGTCAGCCGAGTGACACCTAGAACAACCATTAGTGATCAAGATAAACACAATCTGCAATCGTTTTGTGGAGCTTTTCATAATTAGTGGATTTTATTTACAGGCCTCTGTTTCTTATCATTAAATGTAAAGGGTTTAATTAACTCTACAAAGTTAATGTGGTAGTGAAGGCCTACTGTTAACAGGAATTATAACAGAATATTATATGTTAGATCTTTAGTAGAAATTTAGGCTACTCCTTGGATTCAAATTTCACCATCGATTATGACTAATCTTGTGTAACTGTAATGGTGTAACAATTAATGTGATCACCTTCCAATCTAAAGGTTGTCAGACACATACCTAGTTGCTATTCGTCATCTCGAAGTACCGGTAGGCCTATTTGTAATGTACGCCATTATAAAAATCTCCCGCAGTCGTGTGGACATCACAGTCTGCCGTGATCGCGGCAAAATTATGATCAACTTCCACGTCTGTTTTGACATCATTCCTCTCCCAGGTCATGTGGACATTATCAAGGTCTTCCACTATCGCAGCAAAATTTGGATCATGTCCCGCGTTCGTGTAGAAATCATCACTGTCTCTTGCAGTCACAGCAAAATCATGAACATATCCCGCGGTTGTGTAAACATTATCATCGTATCATTGTCATCATGGGCCAAAGACGGCTTTTTCAACTGCGCAACCTTGCAGAAATATACCAATGTCCAATTATTGGTGGTATCGAGAATCCGTACTGAGAATCAACACATCCTACTAGCAATCATAAATCATGGGGAGAGAGCTGGTCTAGTGGAAGAGCGCAGGGCTTTGGTGCCCACGGTCTTAGGTTCAAATCCTGTCTATTACCTATAGATTTTATCCATGTGATAATGCTGCAACCCTCTAGGACTAGGCTTTTGTAATGTGTTAAACGGTTACGGGCTAGAACTAGCAGCCTAGAATGTGAAGGTGGGACACAAAAAAAAAAACAAGGAAAAACTAGCAATCGTTATAAGGTTACAAAATTGCACTATTAAAATAAAAATATCCCTTGTGGTAAAATCCTTACAAAATAGGGAAAGTGTGTTTTAGGGAAATAATTCCATGAAATCAATTACTAAGTATTTACCTTTTCCTAGATCGGGGGCGTAGGTTCCGTCTGTTTTCATGTGCAGTAGAGCCTTGAGATGTCTCACCGACCTTGATAAGCTGTCTAATACGAGCTAGGCAACCGTTCTCCGTATCATTCACGACAAAATCATCACAGCTATAGCTGAAATCACACAAAACAAAGTCACTCAGCTGAAATATACTTTTCTTTTGAGTCCCCAAAGAACAAATTAAATAAGTTAGGTTTAAAACAATTAATCAGTTTTACTTCCTACTGAGTAGGCTAAATAGTGCAATTAATTCCTAAAATAAATTCTTGTCAAAGCAAGGGAACGGGATGGCTAGACTATTATTGAAAATAAAGAATTACCGGTATGAAAAACAATAATAAACATGCTTACCAAAAGACTGAAAGTGAACTACAGTCGATGCAGACAAGATGATTTTGCTGTTTTGAATGTTCCAGTGAATGACCGTTGACGTAACGGCCGCAATGTAGAACGCCACAGTGAAGACACATCCAAGGACTATCAGTGGCAGAACAAACTGTAAAAAAAAACATTTATTTGCTTAACAAAAACATTTCAAAGAACCAGTTACCGGAAATTAGTTTAAATGTTTATATTTTTTTATTCCTCTAGCCATTGGCCTATAGAATACCTAGAATTACCTCTAGGCTAAGATTTACCTACAAAAAAGGAGTCGACAACCGAATAGAGAGGCTACTATTTGTTGTAAGGGGATTTTTATATATTGAAAGTCATTACATTTTAAAAGCTAACCAATGTTGAGAGGAGTAAACAAAGTTATATAACTCTTAAGTTAAGCCATGTTTACACCAAAGTCTTCCTCTAGATGCAGCAATTAAATTAACTTGTTTTTTTCTACACTACTAGTGGAGAGAAGTCTTTTGTGTTATATTACGGAATTAGCCTATATATGCATATAAATAAAACAAGTTTACGCCTAGTAAATATAGGTACTATAAAATCTTTTTTGTAAATTAAAATTTCATATCTAAAATTTATATAATATTATTCCTTGTTTTTTGCTGAAAAAAAATGATATATAGGCCTAGTATAATGTGTTTTCTGGGTTATTTATATATTTTTTTAAGTGTTTTAAAAAATGGTTGCGCGGCGCCTAAAAAACCCTTGCCACTACAGAGTAAAATGACTGCCAGCTATAGGGTTAACCCTCCGAGTGTTATTTGTCGCTGCAGCGACACATAACATTAGTGTTTTGTGTCGCTGCAGCGACTCACAAACACTGTTTACGGCGAAGGCTCTGTGACTGACAAAATCGGATTGAACATTTTGCTCTTTGCTGATGATGCTAAACTCTTTAAAACAATTAAAACCCTGGATGATTGCCAAGTTCTGCAGAACGGTATTGATTCGCTGATGAAGTGGTGCTGTGATAATGAAATGACTCTGAATATTTCAAAATGCTCTGTGATATCCTTTTCCAGATCTAGCACACCCATTATCTTCCCCTACTTACTTGACGGTCAACCCCTCCCACGTTCTTTCAGGATCAAGGACCTTGGCGTCATACTTTCACCAAATTTAAACCCTCAAGAGCATATAAATTGTATCTGCAAGAGAGCAAATTCTGCCCTATATTTCATTATAAGGAACAGTCGTAACATGTTCTCTATCAATGCATTGAGAATCCTCTACATTCATCTAGTCAGGCCTTTACTTGAGTTTTCATCACCAGTTTGGAGCCCTTACCTGATTGGGCAGATTGAGAGTCTTGAGAACGTGCAGAGCCGTTTCATTCGTCTGGTTGGTGTGCTGATGGGTTATGACTACCGCACCGTTCCTATCCAGAATTTACAACTTCAGTTAAACTTGAGGCCACTACTTGCACGACGTGAAATCAATGACCTTCTGTTCCTGAGGAAGCTAATTAACTCAGACATTGATGCACCTGATCTACTATATAAGTTGAACTTCCGCACATCCCGTCACCTGCGCTAAACTCATCCGTTCGCTAGACGCCAGTACTCAACCCAGTACATGTTCAACAGTACATTTCCCCGCATCCAACTCTTGGCCAACAGCTTACCAGAAGATATCGACCTCTTCTCCATCAGTGGCGAGTCGTTGAAAAAAAGGATGTTACTTGTTGATCTGTGAGGCGCTGCCTTGATTTGTTGTTTAAGTAAAATATCAGTTTATTTATTTATTACTATTGTTATATTTTCTATTGTAGTATTATTATTGTTATATGCTATTGTCATTATTCGTTCCTGTTGTTATTTATTATTGTTGCTATTGTAATTTATGCTGTTGTTGTTTGTTGTTGTTGTTATTATTTTTGTTAAGCCCCGTTCACACGGGGCGAGTTTACAAGCTACACGTCGGCTTTTTTACACGCAGCTAGTAGCTCAGTGTGAACGACGTACTCGCTCAAAAGCTGCTTGTAAAAAATCTCTGGAAAAAGTTGACACTGCCGCTACTTTACACGCCAACTCGCCAGCTTTTGAGCGAGTAGGCGTGTAAAGTAGCCCAGTGTGAACACAGTTGCTTGTGCTTGTGCGCATGTTACTCAAAGATGTTGGAGGATTTGGTTCTAGCCAGCTACTGAGCGAGTGGAAAAAGCATCGTGTGAACGACTAAAAGTGCACTCGCCGACGTCTTTCTACACGTTTGCGAGATGGCGAGTGGACAAGCTCCGTGTGAACGAATACAAGCAGACTCGCCAACTCGCCGGGTTCTTAAACACGCTGGCGAGTAGCGTGTAAACTCGCACCGTGTGAACGAGGCTTTATCTTTGTTGGCTACACATTTTTATTCAATGTTAATTATATCAAAGATTTATCATTGTTAGTCAACATTGCTCAGATTTAGTTGTTGTTCTTGTTGTCTTGTCAAGTTCTCTCATTAAGTAGATTCTAAGCCCCTTTGCATGTTTGGCTTGACCCTTAGTTATAGGAACATTGAGTAAGCATTATAAAAAAAAATAATTGTAAATTGGTCTGTTTGGACCGTTGGAAGCAAAATAAAATAAAATAAAATAAACTGGATAGAGTTAGGTATCGTTTTATTTGACAGATTCAGAGCTTTCTCCGGAGGTCTGTCTCTAAGGGCTTTTCATTTTAGTTCTGAAAATATTGTAGCAGACAGCTGACGTGCGTATTTGTAAACAGCTTGGTTACCGATGACTGATGTGTTTTATTACGTTTATCATTGTTTTAGTGTTAAAAATCAAAAGTACTTAGTGATATACGTGGTGCATTAGGTATAAGAAGATTTAAGTGATTTTGAAGGGCTGGTTGATGATCCTGAAGAAGTAGGTAGTGATATTGATGTAAATTATCAGCCAGATTCCTAGCTATGGTTAGGCTATGCATTCTTAGCTAAACGCTATGAACTGAAATCTGTTTTTCACTCATAACTTAACTTATTTATTTGATAACTTACCTCACTATATGATTATATATTTGTAATCCTCATAAAATTTAGAACAAAGTGGCTATTTTCAAATATTTGAAAAGGCCTATAATTTAAACAATTTCATTGAGCGCGAACTTATTTTTTTTTTGCAAATTTTCCAAAATATTTTTTTTTACCTAAATTTTTTTTTTTTTTAACAAATGTTCCTTATGTTTTATAGCCTATATAATATTGAAGCCCATGATTTTCCAAACAAAATGGTATAGAACAGTAACTTAGGCCTAAGTATAATTAACATTGTTTTTAAGCTTCTCAGATCTGTTTTAATAAAACCTTGCAAATGAGCAAAAAATAGGCAGACATTAAGGCCAAAACAAGGGACACTCGGAGGGTTAAGTTAGTAATTTGAAAAAATTGAGCGATGACTAAGTTATGGTTTTAGATCAGCCTAAATAGAGGGAAAACAAAACTGAATGCTTGACTGTTAATAATCAAAATAGCCTAATAAATTAATCTAGTGTAAACTAGGCTTAACTTAACCAAAGAGTAAGTTTACACGAGTTTAGACGATATAAGTTAAGGCTATCAATTATTTAATTTGATATACCGTTGGTTAAGTTAGGCTAACTAACCAAATGCTAGAATAAAATATCAATATTTTCATTCGGTTGTTTTTGACAACATATAAGTAGCCTACCCTATCCAAAAACAGTTAGGCCTAACTTAGTTTCACCAGCTACAAAATCTGAATTGAAAATCTAAGCTATGGTAGGCCTACTCACTCATATGAAAAATCAATAATTACTAGTGCCTTGCCTAGTTAGGCCACGGCCTAATTAACTTAAATCAACAGAATTCTTTCAATAATAGGCTATTTAAAAAGGAAAAAAAGAATAGGCCCTAAAAACCTAGCCTAGGCCTAAGTTAGTCGTCCACATAATATTTTGCAGCCAAATAGGCTGGACCTAGGCCTATTCCTAAAGCAACAAGCTCTGCAACCTAAATTGGGAATAAAAAAATAAATAATCGAGCTAAATATGCCTAGCTGAGATTAATCAATTCTCTACGATTCATGTGACTCAGTGCCAAAGGCCTGTCAATGGCCCCACCAAGGATGTCAAGTAACCATCTCTAGAGAAGCAGACCATTGACCATACTTTTTATGAGGCCCAGAAAAATATCAATTAAAAGTTAGTAAACTAATCAAGCCGAACCCAAATTGTGCGAGGTTTAGTTTATAGTGTTAAAGACGCAATGTCGCCAAGTTTCAATTTTTGAAAGTGAATCTAAAACCAGATCTATACTTTACCTGCGCAGGCCAACTCCTTTGTTGCCGTCTGGGCAGGAGACGATATTTTGACATTTTCCAACAAATGAGGACACTCCATCTCACTTTATTAAGCAAAGCCTCTAATTCAAGTAAAATCTAAGTTAATCCTTACCCACCAGAAATACTTTTCAGTTAGATAATGTACTAACAAACTTGAAACCCCAACCTCCTACTCCCTTGACAACTACCGCTACGAAATCCGAGTGAATTAACTCGGAAACTCCGTCCCGTCTCGGAACCACTTCGGGCTCAGCTCAGCCTGTCGTATCACTGCGCAGTCCAAAATAAAAAGTTATCTTAGGGAGTTTTAGCTTTTAGAATAGAAAATGTTCGTTAATTTGCAATTTCTTATACGTTATTATTTATCATTAACAGAGAACAACATTATTTCAAAAAAATAACGTATTGATATAGTCTACTGGCAAAGAAATGGTATGTCAGCTTCTCAGCTTTGATAATTGAAGGTTTTTTAACCTCAGGGAAAATTCATAATCAATACGACGCACTTTGATTTCCGAGTTTATCTCCCAATTTCTTTAAACGAAATTTTGGGACTAAGTTTAACCTAAGTAAAGCAATTAATAATGAAGACATGTTGCATTTTTTACTTCTGAACATCGAGACATAAAAAAATAATGCGTGATTGGGCGTGATTAGTTTCCCAATTTTATTCATGTAAAAGAACGCAAGGAAGGAGAAAGTCTAATAATTAATTGTACCAGAGTTTCAAGGTTTTACGTTCTTTGTCTTCTTCCTTCTTGGGCATTGTTCCTGCCTTTTAAAAATTGCTTTTGCTATTAACTCTAAAAAATAGAGTTTTGACATGGATACTGCATAATCTAATTTTCAGAAAACCTCAAATGAATCCCTATATATAATACGTGAAGGCGATTTCTACGAAACACTACTCCTCCGTTAATAATGGACGGATTTTTACATACGCTATGTGTCAAAATAGCTAGTTCATGTAATAAAAGTCCTGAGGCTTTGCCTCGCAGGCCATCAAAATCCCAATGTATTTCTTATAAAAAAAAAGATTTTGTTTACAGACGAATAATTTGTATTAATTACAGCTGAACATATAGTAAACACATGATACAAACAAGAGCGTTTCGTTTTCAGAGTGAGTTCGTCGATAACTGTAGTGGAGTGATTGATTACACATTATCTTGAGTTGACTCTTTTAGGTCATCGGAAATTATGATTGTTATTAGTTTTGAAATAAAAAAAAACCGCCTGTAATACTTTGCAATTGCTCGAATTCGAGCAACAGGTGCACTAGTTTTATAAGAACTTTGATTTAGTTACTCCAGGCAGGGGCCTGTTTCATAACAAGCTGTAACTTGTTATTCCATTATAGATTCACATTAGTTGATCAGCTGATTTAATAATAATAATATATTAGTTTGTACAGTAGGTTATGAAACAGGCCCCAGGGCCCTGTTTTTCATAAAAGGTGGCAGGTATGACAATTCCGACAAATCAAATTTGTCAGAAACTATTAATTATTTGTAAATAATACTATTTGACAGGGTGACAATTTTAAAATTGTAAATTGTCTTATGTTTTAACTTCAGTTTAATAAAGTTTACAATTGTCATGAAAACATGTCAAGAATTAGCTACATTTACAATTATTGCTGATTATTTATTGTAACATATTCCAGTGCAAGATGTCTAATGACAAGATGAAAATTGGGTAGCCTATATGCGTAAAAAAATCTAAATTTGGGCCACAAACAACCATAGTATTGAATGATTATCATACATATCCACTAATGGGGCCTCATTTTCATGGGGTGCATCAATTTGAATTATGACAAATCCACACTAAAGTTAAAATTGATTCTGTAACATTACCTTTTACATTCATACTCATACTACTAATGCTACTAAGCACTAATGACAATAGCTTGATACACACGGAACCCTATGTCAATTTTATTCCGACAATTTGACAAAAAAGTCGTATTGTAAAATAAACTTTAATTTTGAGCAGTTTCATAAACATAATTGTCAACACATTTCTCGACAATTTGTGAACATTCACCTGTCACAATAAAAGTTTTATGAAACAGAGATCTGACAAATTTGTCAAGCCGTTGACATATTTGTAAAAAATTGTTGACATAAAATTGTAAATTTTAAAACTTATATGAAACAGTAATTTGTAGAATTGTAGATATGTCAAATATACCTGTCACCTTTGATGAAACAGGGCCCGACTTAATACAGTATGCCCAAATTTCATACAGGTTATTTTTAATTCTTACATGTTGCCATGATCTGTCATCGGTTCACTAGACCAGGGTTTATTCTCCTTTTTCTCCCGCTTCAAACTCAAATAAAGTCTACCTTTTTACTTTGTCCAATCATTCATCTTCCTGTGGTTTATTTATACTTTTAAAACTTAACAATCGTCTGGGAAATTTTTATTTCATCACTCCTTAACAAAAGTAACTATTTTTGAAAACAGCTGATATTAAAAAAAGTAGTTTCTCAAGCTCTAATTTAGAGAAAAAGGGAAAACTATCAATCAGCTTATTTTCCCCTCGTTCTTGATTTGTTCTGCATTTATCCACTAGCACTAGTGAGCATAAAAAATAGCATTCGTACCGAGGACCGAAATAGTTTTACAGCTCTTGATCGTTTCAAGTTTTCGACTTTGTCTCAAACTTAAGCTATTTTCCGACACTTGCCCCGTAAGTAACTTTCCTATGCTCGGCTTCTCCTCACACATGAATCTTGAGCGCACGCCGGAAATGCCACTTTTGGTCCTAGTAATGAAATATACTATTACCAATTATTTATGTGTGTGGATTTGAATACTTTATTGGGTGGTTATAAGACCAATAATATTGTCATTAAGGAAAATGTCTTCCCCGGTCACAAAAAAAGTTTCTGTTACGTAACATAGGCTACTCCTCTGTTTTATCTATGGTAGTACACAGCTGGTCACTTGGGGCCGAAACAAGGTACAGTATAGTATTTATTCAGCTGTTAATAACATTTTGACTGAATCATTTTAATTTTTATCATTTAGTAAAATCATGGTGTTTCTACCATGTAGTAAAATAGTTGCTGCACTATCTTGAATTGATTAAAACTATTTCCAAATCGTTTTTATAGCTTTATAAAAATATACATAAAAAAAAATTACATTTGAGGTAATTATTGGTTTGACTGCAAGAAAACGCTCTTTTCAAATTCAGTCTGCATAAATAGTATTCTTAACATCTTAATAAAAAGACATGTTTTGCCTTTTTGTTAGAGGTTTGACGAAGACTTGTTAATGTAAGAAAATAGTGTTAGGTTCATCATTAGACAAGTCAATGGCTTAATAAAAATGGTAGCTTCACGGACTTCAGGCTCAAGGCATGTCCTGGTACCTGCCACTACTTTAAAGTTTATTTCACCTTTGTACTTAACTGGTTCATTCCTTGCTTTGCTGGATACGTCCCACACACAGACCCAAGCATATGCGGACAAGCAAATGCGTGGTTAAAAGCTGCCAACCTCTTAAAAAAATTAGGAATATTTATTATATGTTTCTGAACACTTAAAAAAATAACTTCATACCAACAACCGCTCAAATATTGAGTTGGAAGTGGTCAATAATGGCTAAAAAACGTAAATAGTCTGAGTAGGATTACAGTAGACGTAGACCCCATCTTATCCGACCTTACATTAACCGATAATCTGACAATGCGCAACTGGCTCACCAAATTTTCTAGGAATCTCGGCATTTCTGCTCCCACGCTTGGCAATCGGAACAATACGCTAAACTCTACAGGATGTTTCTGTATAAATAAACACCCTGTCTCGCAATGAAATGGTCTTTTATCTTAAATTTTGATGATAATAATTTCTGTTTAACACACTCATATTGTATTGCGATGGATTTGTAAAGTATCAATCATTTGACTCTACTGTGTTTTGGGTTTATTTGTGACTTTTCAACACAAAGTCAATACTTTTTTCTTAGTCTGCTTCCTGTCATGTCCACGGCAGTGCTTGTAGTTGATAGGCCTATCACTATAGTTTTTTATGTTTAGTGTAAAATGTGTTTTATTTATTCTGCTGACGACACATCAAGTGGATTCTTTTGTTTGCCTGACAATGGCGGAGATGCTTAAAGCCGCCAAAACATATGTAGCAATTTCGACACTACATATTAAGGATTGTCTGACAAGGTATGTTTAACCATTATTTGTCATATTAACGCAATCCTGGGGCTATGAAAATGAATTTCAACAATAATCTTGTCTATGTTATTTAATTGGTTATAAATTTATAAAATGATAAAAATTGAAATAGCCACAGCCTTTTTTAATATACTATTTTTTTGTACCGGTAAGTTAAATTTAACTGATGTTCCTCGATTTAAGACACGAAACTCCATGCTTATTTAGAAACTTTATGTACTATTAAAAAAAAGTGCTAAATCATTAAATAAAAGGTACTAGCAAAGCTTCAAGTTACTGTAAAAGGTGTTATAGACTATCCTAATTTATAATGTAATGATAACGATAACAATAACATATTTGGGGTAAATATAAATGAATTTCAATCGATTTCATAAATACCCAAAATAACCGGGTATTTATTGATTTTAGGGTATTTACTCGAGTATTTTACATCACTAGATAGGCTAAGTGTAGTTTATTTCGTAAATAATACACGCATGACTTCGCACATTTTGTAAGTTTTAGTTTTTAGGGATTGCCCATTTTAACCGACCCTTTAAGAGGAGGTCTACTGTAGTATCTAAAACAGAACAGCCCAACTAATATATTTTAGCCGTTAACAAAGGATATGATTGGTTTATAACCAGGAGAATAAACAATTTAGCCATGAATAAAAACACAATTTATTACACTACCCTACATATAGTGTATGTAGTTTGTACTTATTTAAACAAATACAAAAGTAAACAGTAACACTCAAATCATCCAAAAGTATGGCAAAACAAGGAGTATTTAAAACACAAAACAGGGGATTTGAAACACACTGGAGCTTGCTTTGTGCTATTTTTGCAACAATGAATTAATTATTTCAGTGGTCCGATTGCAGAGACAAAGCAAAGTCATAACTTCTCCAAGCCCTGTGTTCATCTTGTCTTAGATTATGAGTTCAACTTTTTTTTGCATTATATTTAACAGACTGCTGGACGTAGTTCTCAAAATTAAAGTACAGCTCTTGTTATTTGAAGGAACCACAAAAAAAAATCAGTAAGGATATATTTTTTACAATTCAAAAATCAGTTCAAAGAAAACGGATGATCAGAGAATTACTGTTCTGGTAAAAATATTAACTTACTCTACCACGTTACTCATACTTATAAAACTCAGAATATAAAACAAAAAATAATTTAAGTACTAGTAACTTCTTAAAATTTGGAATCACTCAACTGTCTTTAGTATCAGTTCAATCAGCTTCTTAACAATCACGCACACACATTATGACTACTTAAAATACAAATGTTGGTTTGGTAATGTTCGTAAATAAAACACCCAAGAAACCTCAGGAGCAGCTCATCTTGAATCTGGAACAAGAAATTAGTTTTAATACAACTAAACAAGATAACATTTTGTATTCATATGACACTTACTTAAAACGTTTGCTGGCCACTCACCGGTGAGTGCTCTAGTTCCTCTCTGCTACGCTGATGCTCACCCATGAGTGCCGGCATCGCCTACATTACAAATAATTTCTGCGCAGCAGCACACCAGGAAGAACTGGTATTTTTATGTCTGCGTTTAGCTAGGAATGTGTGCTTTATTGTGGTGTAGATTGGCAGTAAAATTCTGCATATAAAACCATTCTGGCAAGCTTAGAAACCAACTTTGAAATGAAATTGACAATAAAATGGGACGGCTAGTTTCAGGCAGTGCTGCTATCTGCGTTTCAGCAAACTATGTCGACTCTCGTCCTTGTTGAATGTAATTTTATTTTTATATAATATGTTTGCTGTTACTTGTCCTGTATTTAATTTAATTTATGTTGGTAACAGCTGATCATGTGTAAATAGTTAGGATTGTTTTTATAGTAATGAGAGTTTTTGTTGAATAAGTTATGTTTGAGTAAAAATGTTGTGTGTGTGTACTTCAGTAAAATAAAAGATAATTATTGTAACAGTAAAACCTTAGGTGTTAGTAATTTACTTTCACTTAAGTCAACAGGTTATGGGGCCCAGAAAAATTCATTAATTCAACCATAACTGTAAAAACAAGAAGTAATCTTCTAGTAAAACCCCAAGAGTTAAAGTGTAGTGAAGGTGAGTGAAATAGTAAAAGTAAGACTAACAATGGCATCAGTAAAAGAAGATGATTTTGTAGAAAAACTCAAAGGAGTTGAAACTTTTCCATTGTGGAAATTTCAGATTAAAATAATATTTCAATCCAGTGATTTGATGAGTATTGTTGATGGTTCTGAGAAACTTGAAGATATGGGTGATGGAAAGAAGAAGGCTGATTGGATTAAAAGAGATGCCAAGAGGCTCAGAAGTGTATAGTTAGTTCTATTGAGAAGGGACCGATGTTACATATCATTAACTGTGAAAACTCAAGAGAAATGTTTTGAAGCTGTGTAATATTTATGAAAGAGACTCAGAGCAGCAGAAGTACTCGTTATTACAAGAATTCTTTAACCTCAGGTATGAGCCTAATTCTGATATAAGTTCTCACATAAGTAGAATTGAAAACATAGCACACAGACTAAAAACTTTAAAACAAGATATTGATGAAAAAATGATAATATCAAAAATTCTTGTCAGTCTGCCAGATAGATTTAAGTATTTTGTAACTGCCTGGGAATCAATGCCCAATGAAGAAAAGACATTGGCAAATCTAACAGCGAGACTGTTAGCAGAAGAGTCAAGAAGTGAGTTAAAGGAGGTAAGCCTAGAGAAAAATCTTGCATTCCAAGTTGTTTGTCACAACTGTAAAATTCCAGGCCATAAAGCAAAGTACTGCAAGAAGCCTACATACAATAGGGCTAACTCTGATAATGAAAGGCGATGTTTTAAATGCAATGCTGTTGGTCATCTAGCAAACACCTGTGGAAATGTAAAAAAAAATTGTTAACAAGTTTGAAAAAAGAAATGTAAAGCCAAATTTATTTTGTAATATATGTAAAAAGTCAAATCATAATGAAAAAAATTGTTACTTTAGAAAAAGCCAGAACCTAAATGTCGCTAGTAAAACTGTGTCATTTTTGTCGTATGATGATGGACAAAATGTTCGGGGTAATAGTGGGACTGTAAACTTTGTATCTGAATGGGTTGTTGATTCAGGCACATCTTCACATATAAAAAATTGTGCAGATTTGTTAAGTAATAAACAAAATATTTCTTCTGAAATATATGTTGCTAAGAAAAATCAAACCATGTTAGCTTCAACGAGTGGAACTGTAAAATTCAAAGAATGTATCCTGAATAATGTGCTATATGTTCCTGAACTCAGTGAAAACTTGTTGTCTGTTTCTGCAATAACTAATAATGGTGGTGAGGTTACTTTCTCTGAAAATACAACAGAGAATGACCAGAAAGGAGACAAAAATGAAAATGATAAGAAAGAAGACAAAAATGAAAATGACCAGAAAGAAGACGAAAATGAAAATGAAGATATTGAGAGTGCAGATAATCTAAGTGAGATAAGTAATAATGAAGTAGAGTTTGAGTTGGTTTCAGACAAAAATGAAATCAATGAAGAACAGCCAAGTTTAAGTAATACTGATACTACACAAAGCATCAAACTAAGGAGAAAAACTAAACTACCTGAAAGATATAAAGAGTTTGTGTTGTTAACATATGAAGAAGCAATCAAAGGACCAGATAAAAAAAATTGGCTACAAGCAATTGAGGATGAGAAAAGCTCCCTTATTGAGAATGAAACGTGGGAAGTGGTTGACAAAAAGCAAGCACTAAACAAGAAGATCCTAAGTAACAAGTGGGTATTAACAAGAAAGGATAACGGAAAATACAAAGCGAGACTAGTTGTTAGAGGTTTTGCCCAAGAACAAGGTATAGACTATGAAGAAACCTACAGCCCAGTTGTAAGTAATTCAACTTTACGTTTGTTATTTTCATTAGCTGCCAAACAAAATCTCAAACTAATGCAATTTGATGTTAAAACTGCTTTTCTCTATGGAAATTTAGATGAAGAAATTTATATGTGTGTACCTGAAGGGTTTGATCATAAAGATAAAGTTTTGAAATTAAGAAAGACTTTATATGGACTTAAACAAGCTCCATTTAAATGGAACCAGTTGTTTACAAACTGCTTGCTAAAATATGGCTTAAAACAAACTCAGTCTGACCGTTGTGTTTTTACAAATGGCAGTATTCATCTTGCTATATTTGTTGATGATGGAATTCTTGCTGGTTCAGATGAAAGAGAGATGAAGAAACTTTTGAACGAGCTGTCTAGAGATTTTAAAATAAAAACAGACGAAAACCCATCAAACTTTCTTGGAATGGAAATTTTATATTCAAGGGAAGGGATATTGTTAACACAAAAGAACTATTCAAACAGTATTCTCGAAAAATATGGAATGATAGATTGTAAACCTGTAGACACTCCCATTTGTCCAGTGAAAACGAGCAAACCTGATGAAGAAGTAAGCTGCCTGACAAAAGATTATTCTTACAGAGAAGTTGTAGGAAGTTTGCTGTACTTATCCAATAAAACCAGACCTGATCTTACACTTGCTGTGGGATTAGAAAGTAGATGTGTTGAGAATCCAAGCAATGAAGATGTTGTAAATGTCAAACGAACCTTAAGATATATTAAAGGTACTCAAGACGCAGGAATATTATTTTCAGCATCAGGAGAAAATTGCCTAAATGTATATTGTGACGCAGACTATGCAAATTGCAAGCATACAAGAAGAAGTACTACTGGATTTGTCATAATGTATGGAGAAGACCCAATAAGCTGGTGTACAAGAAGACAACCGATTGTAGCTTTGTCCAGCACTGAAGCAGAATACATTGCAGCGGCGGAATGTGTCAAAGAAGTGTTATATTTAAAAACTTTCTTGCAAGAGTTGAGTGGAACTAATGTTGAAACAAACCTAAACATGGACAATCAAAGTGCTATTAAGCTTTGTAAAAATGGAATTTTTAATAAGCGAAGCAAACACATTGATGTTCGCTACCATTTTTTGACTGAAAATGTAAGGCAAGGTAAAATAAACATTTCTTTTGTTTCTACATCCGAGAATGTTGCGGATATGTTTACAAAACCCTTGAACAATGTCAAGTTTCATCAATTTAGCAAAGCTTTGATCAACTATCCAAAATCTTGAACAGAAGACGACAATCGAGATATTTATTTTTTGTTTCTTATATAAAATTAAAATTAAGGGAAGGTGTTGAATGTAATTTTATTTTTATATAATATGTTTGCTGTTACTTGTCCTGTATTTAATTTAATTTATGTTGGTAACAGCTGATCATGTGTAAATAGTTAGGATTGTTTTTATAGTACGGTAATGAGAGTTTTTGTTGAATAAGTTATGTTTGAGTAAAAATGTTGTGTGTGTGTACTTCAGTAAAATAAAAGATAATTATTGTAACAGTAAAACCTTAGGTGTTAGTAATTTACTTTCACTTAAGTCAACAGTCCTAACACAGCACATCACCGCACGTCATTTGCTATTCGTCAGACTGAAATATTTGTAAGCCTATAAATAAGCTTGGTTACAACATGTTTTGTGCCTGATGATGGGCAACTCTGAAGCAACTCACTTCTCGATCGAATCACTACAGATGATGTTATTCATACATTCATACATGGGTTAAGAATGTGAACTGTGCGATTTAATTGCAGTCGATGGAGTGGGGCAAACAAATTCCCCCAAAAGCCCCAAAAAATATTTGCAAAGAATGTTGGCAATGAAGGTTATGGCAACTGTTTTTTGGGACAAAAAAAGGTTGAAACCTTTGTGGACTTCCTGGAAAGATACATGACAATTTTGAAAATTAGGTTGTAAGTGTGACCTCTAAAGTAAAAAAAACATTGTCCTTAACTTCATTTTTAATTTCAAACAGAAATGTACTTTCTAGATAGCCCTCGTATAAGAGTTATAGAACGAGATAACTTTCTAACTGACTAAGATAAGCTGAGAATTTTCAGCCAGGACTGTTGATTAAAAGTCCAATGAGTCCAGTTTGAATTCGAAAATAATAATCAGACTTTTCGGGATCAAACCAATTAAATGGTAAAAATTACACTCACTGATTTTACAGTATTTTTTTTGTAAGTTAAAACCTTTGATGGGTTAAATGAGCTCTTAAGATCATTGAACTAAAGTAACTATGATAAATTTTGTTTTAGGAAAGGCTCAATGTTAGGATGTTAATTTGTAGAATAAAAGGGATAGCAGCTAGTTTACCTTGGAAAAGGCATAGGAACGTCATAGAACACAGGAATTATTAGACTAAAGTTTTGCTAATCCCTCAATCTAAACTTGACAAAGTTCCTCAGGGGACAAAATAAAATACTGTTTTTGTCCTGCCTTCAAGCTAAGCTAGCTACAATTTCTTGATAATTAGAATAGCAAATATTTTAATCAAAGGTTTTTCATGAAACTTCCTGAAAAAGTATAGGCCTAAGCTAGAGATTAAGTCAATTGAACTTAGGGATGGACGGGTCCCGAAATTTCGGGAATTTTTCGGGAAAAATATATTTCTGATTATCATGACGGGATTACATTTGACTCGGGAATTTTTCGGGACGGGATGTGGTCCGATCGTCGGCGATTTTTCAGCTTCGCGAGTGCCGATAACGCCGTTATTACTAGCGATAGGTCCGCGAACGCAGGAGACGAAGTCATTTCGACGATTACGCTGTGACCGCGGAGTCATAACGACGATCGCGCCGTGGCCGCGATTATTGGACTGACGATCGCACCGTGACCGCAAGTCATAACGACGATCGGACTGTGACCGTGGAGTCATACCGACGATCACGACGTGACCGCGGAGTCCTACCGACGATCGCGCCGTGACCGCGGAGTCCTACCGACGATCGCGCCGTGACCGCGGAGTCATACTGATGATCATGCCGTGATGGCGGAGTCATGCTGACGATCGAGCCGTGACCGCGAGTCATGACGACGATCGCGCCGTGACCGTGAGTCATACAGACGATCACCCTGTGACCCGCGAGTCACAAGTTTCTATAGGTACCTGTAAATTGTTACCCATTTTTTGGTTTTCATAGATCAGTGCCACAAATGGTAAAAATTGATTTCGTATGTCTTTTTTGGTAACTGCAATATACAGTACTTTCTTTTTATGCACAGAAAAAAATCCCGTCCCGTCCCGTCCCGAAAATTGGGAAGGAAATAAAAATCCCGTCCCGTCCTGAACTAAAAATTCAATCCCGTCCATCCCTAATTGAACTCAATATACCTTAATTTATTTCCTGGATTTCCTGCCTTTTGCTGACTTGGCAGGTGTCTTCTTCTTTGCAGTTTTCTTTGTGGCAGTCTTTTTGCTGGGCGTTTTCTTCTCTTCAGGCTAAAACAACATCCAACTCATTGAAGAATCTTCCAAAGACTTTAACACTAATTTTAACCAATCTTAAGTTATTGTACAAATTATTGTTTTAATCATATGTTGGTTTATCCGCCCAAAATGTTATCTGGCCAGGGGCTCGGTCCCACGTAGGCCGGATTTATGGGGTTTTACTGTATGGAGTTTGAAGTTGCAAATACACATAAGGCACCCAGAGTAAAATACAACTTGAGAGAACCATTGGTTAAGCCAGTTTAATACATGAATGCGTGTGTGACATTCCTCATAGACAACAGTGGTGGGGGGTTATAGAGCTCAGTAATTAAATTGAGCTTACTTTAATTGAAAAACATACTCTGGTGCATTGTTGGTAGAAAATCTATGTAAAAGGTAATGGCCCATTTAATCTATAAAATATGTACATATTTAAGAGTGGAGTTACACTTGTTGAGTTGATAGAAAATAATAATGCAGTTGCTTAGTTATTTCCAAACAGCACAAACAACAATGATGAGGTTTTCGAAGAATTTAAGAACACTGTGAAGAACATTTCAAACGAATTAGTTGTACATCTAATGTAATTCCATCTCAAGATAAATAAGGTAACATTACATTTTTAGCCCGAACCCCTCCAAACATCCCCCACATCATGAGCTCACAGACCTCATAACTTTTCACGAGATATGACTGGAACTGTTACAACCGGAAATACCTTCCCAAACTCAAGGATTTCAACCCTCCATCTAAGATGTTCTCAATGAACTTATTTAACTCAACAACTCCATAAACCTCCTCACTCCTCATATCTCTATCCCAAAAATGCCTACCTTAACTCATTCCATACCGCTTCTCTAACAACTTAAACCTAGAATATAAGGCCATAGTTTCTATGCGCCCGACCAGATCTGGTTGGGTCTAGGCGAGGGGGTTGTTGGGGGTACTTTTGTGAAAACATTTGTGTCTTGCTACTCACTCACCCCTACCCCCAGCACTGCCAATAGCCGGTACCCGTATGTTTTAGTTCAGCTAGTAGCGACCCGTCCACGCGCACAGAAGTTTTGGCCGAACTGTAGCATAGGCCAACAGCACAAGGGCCTAGGTTTTTAAGATGTTGAGGATAACAGGTTTACCTGAATGGGAAAGAAAGAAAATGCGCTGTCAGTGAAAGTAAAATATTTTAATGTTTTGTGTAGGCCTATATGGAGTAAAGTTTTGTGTTCCTTGTACAAGTTTGGACTCTTTCCCATTCAGGTAAGCATGTTACCATCACATACAAATCCTATAAGAATCAGGAAACCTAGAATATTTTGACCATACTTAAACATCCAAATTACTTCAACAGTTTGTCAACCTTTAAGCCTACTTCATCTTCTGCCCCAATTACATTACTCATCTCGTATTTTCAGTTACCTGCGTCTCACTTCCATGCTCTTCTAGGTACTTGTTGATCAGATCTTGACAGGAAAGATGGTTTTCTGGCTCCCAACTGTCATCGCTTTCCTTGTATCCCTTCCAACGGATTTTGAATTCTTTTTTGCCCTTTTTCATTCTCAGGCCGACTATTTCTTCTACCTATAAAAATTAGTATAGAGATCAGCTGGCTAAGCAAAATAAATCTCTAAAAAGAGCTATCAGGCCAATAGGCCCTAGATGAAGAAACTGTAAAAAATTTTTCAATCAATTTAGAATTCTTTCCTTCTACAAGCTTAAATATTCATTGAATCACTTTGATGAATAAGGAAACCTTAAACGCTAAACCTATCCAACCGCAATTAATTATGATACCTGATTGAAAAACTGTCTAAAACCTTTACAACATGAACTTACATCCGTCATCACCAGTACATGGCTCTCAAAAATTACCATAACTGCCACTAAATACAAGTCACTCTTTATTACAAAATTTAAAACTTATTTAAAGGCGTGGCTATTGGAGAAAGGGTTTTATTCTTAAGATTTTTTGTAAGTCAGTAATTTCTTTCATGGCATTTAAAATTAGTTCCATAATCAATGAAGTAAACAACGGCAACTCTACAGTCCGTTAGCGAGGAGATGGTGGGCCTCCCCATAGTTAACATCTTGTTCGTCGCTATTGTTAATTATACTTGCAAATTTTTTATTTGTGATCGTGACTCATTTGTTGATAACTGGAAGTCTATTTTGCACACTAGCACCAACATATGTCTACTAAACCTGGTGTGAAAATTTTTCCAGGAGAATTCAAGGCAAATTCCTGAATTTTAAGAGCTACTATCGGAACCCTCTCAACTTATCGCAACTGGATAATAATAATTTATTATTATCTGAAACAAAACTTTTCTAAAGAATAATATTTTAAACAACATAATAAAACAGTATAACTGGTAGGTGAGGCGACACCAGTTATAATCTCCCGCGATTGTGGGAATGCCGGTGAGCATATCCTTGCAGTCTCATCAACACCGGCAACCGATCGCGGCTAAACAGGTTCGCATATTTTATGATTTCAGCGTCACCAATAATCGTTACCCGCGATCACGGCAACACTTGGGTGCATAATTTGCGGTTTCGGCGACGCCAATAATTGTCTTCCACGATTGTGGCAAATACCCGTGAGCATATCCTGCCGATTCGGCAACACCGATAATTGTTCCCCGCGATTGCGGCAACAAAAGCGATAGTGTTTCGGTTAGCCGACGATTCCGACGACAGGGCTCCGGATTCCCGGAGAGGTTTGGGTGGATTGAGTTTTCCAGGACATTTCAAGGTAAGATTCCCGGAGAGCAGACACTATGACCAACAAAAATATGACTTATCTCAAGTACTCAGCCAGCAAGGTTTGCCATGTAGACTGCTATGTTGATAAAAATAAGGGTTTGAAAAACATGCCTTTGGTTACACAGTCACAATGAAATTTAGTAACGGATCACCATTACAAGGTCAAAATTATTTTTTAAAGCATTATCAAAAATGCCTCTGATGAAAATTAACTGAATGTATGAACAAATTTTCATATAAGTGGATGTTTCCTATAAGACAACTGAGAGTATCAACGTCTTTTGTTTAAGTCCCATGATTTATACTTTCATGTGGTTTTTAGAGGATTTTGTAATGAAATATCGTAATTAGCGAACTTAGTAAACCAACTTACCTCGTAATCTTTTTCAACCTTCTTTGTCTTTTTAGGTGCGGTGGCCTTCACCGGTGACTTTGAGGGTCGCTTCTTCGTCTGAGGTTTCTCTGACCTGAATTTCTGTAACAAGTCGTTACAATTAAGGTCCGATTCCTCCTCCCATGTGTCGTCCCCTCTAGAATACCCCTTCCAACGCACGAGGTATTCTCTCTTGCCTTGTATTGTTCGGCAATCAATTATTTTTTCTACCTGTCACACAATTTAATACACAATGAAAGCTTAGACTATTTTCAAAAAACAAATTAAATTAACAGGCTACCAGGAAAATAAAAGTTTAAACAAATACTACCAAAGTACGATGATCATGAATTTGCCAGTCAGGGAAGACAGTGATAATGTTTGTTTCCACAGAGTAGGATTTTTCTGCAATCGCAGGAGACAAAGTGACGACGATGTTTACACAGTTGGGGGTGATGACCAGAAGGATTAGAATTTTACCACAACCGTGGAATACAATGATGATGTCTACATGACTGGAATATCGCAATTGACGATGTGTTACCACGGGGGATATTCAGCTCTTTGCTGAGACAATGACAATGTCTACATGACAAGAGATGATCCTAATGTCCACATTACCGCAGGAGATATTCAATATTTTATTGTGGTCGTAGAGGACATCGGTAATATTTTCATGACCACGGGAGGTGATGGATGATGTTTCTGTGACTGAGGAAGATATTCAGAATTTTGCAATGATCGCAGAAGATATTCAGGATTTTGCAGTGATCGCAGAATATTCGTGGTCTCTCTGATGGCGGAAGATGATCACGATATTACCTTGAGTTTGGCTTGATTGAAAATCCCAAACTGGCACAACTCTAGTTTTAATTAACATTTTCTTTGTGATAGTTTTTCTAAATCTTCATTCGCTTTTGATATGGTATTTAAGTCTTAGAAGGGTTTAAACTTAGCTGGAATTTTTCATTGCTGCATTGATTTTGCTTTACATGGGAAAACTCAAATTGCTTCAAAATTACTTTATAGAAGGACATGGCATAAATACAGTTGAATAAGCAAGCAATCCATACAGAGAATTTGGTTAATAAAACACATGGTGCTGGTATTGAATTGAGAATATATTTACCAGATATTGGCATCGGTATCGAGAATCGATAAATTTTGGTATTTATTAGGGGAGAGTGGGGCACATTTGAACACTTTTTAAACTTTAATTTTTTAATGGGGGTATTTATGTGTTTCAGTTGGGGTATATTTGAACAAAATGCTTACCAGAGGAAAACATGGTGTTCAAATGTACCCCTCAGACTCTGTTCAAATCTACCCTACTAGACACCATTTTGCAAAAAGTTAAATTATGTCTTCTTGGATTATAATTTATCAATGTGAAGTGCATTATTGTAACTAAATATGTATAACCTAAGCCATAAGGTAAATGGATCAAACTTATCTGTAATGTAGTTTTTCTATGGAAAATTTACAAATCCCTACTGCTAAATAAATTTCCTTGTGGCACTCTAAAACTTTTTTTTCCAACAACAAACTAAGAACTGATCAGAAATAGAGGGAGATGAATGCAACCTCTTGCCCTATTGGAGGGCTACATTTTACATCTGATCCAATGGCCTGCGAGTATAAAAACATGGCGGCAAATTTCAACCGTTCAAATGAGCCCCACTCTCCCCTACACATCACTAAATAAATAGGACATTCAACGAATTATTTACATTCTTTGGAGAATTGTGAGCATCTGTTTGAAATACCGGTACTCAAGACTATACCTAGTAAAGTTAATTGGGATTTTTGGTATTTCAGTTAGTTATGATCATGATGTTTCTGGTCTACTGTCTACTGAATATTGTCTACTTTTTCTGCTCTTTGACACTTTTACTGTAGTTTGAATTTGTGATGGTTTTCCCACATAAGCAACAGCTTTTGAGATGATCTAATTTGTTTCACATTATTGAAGACGGAATTGCTATTTAATATTTTTTTATGGGTTATAGCACAGAAAACATACTGCTATAACCCAGAATGCCAACCGCATGGTAAAAAGCATTAAGTGTTTTGAGAGAGCTTTGCCTGTCAATCGTAGGCAGCGCCACCAGCGTTGCTATGCTGAGTGCATGGCAACGCTGGTGGCGCTGCCTACAATTGACAGGCAAAGCTCTCTCAAAACGCTTAATGCTTTTTACCACGCGTTTGGCATTCTGGGTTGTTGTAATATGTTTTCTGTGGTTATAGGTAGCTTTAGTGTAAAAAAATTGTATTTTTTACTTTCTCATTAGGTGTCATTAAGTATGTTTTGAAAATTCCGATAAAACAGGATTCTTGTTTTTAATATGTTTCTCACAAGTCTACATACTCCACACTGGTATTAAGATTCATGCAAAATTAAAAATTTTTAAGTACCAGTACTTCCACAAAATTGAATAAAAAGGCAATGTTCGGAAAATACAAAATGGCGGCTCTGTAACTAACCAATGACTTAAAGTTAAAGATGATTTACAATGAGGTTACAAAACACTCTATATATGTTTACCTCATAAGAGGCTTCACTGTCTCCATCTTTTGTAACCGGCTTTGGCGTTCTGGAAGACTTGCGGGCTGGCTCTGCTTGAGGTTTCTGAAAACCAAAACAATAACTTTAGAAGCACCACTCATGAACAAATAAACGGTATCAGCATTCTGACACATACTTTCTCCTATAAGTTTGTCAACAACCTTTATCATGTGTAAGGAGAATCTATTGCGGTCTTGGCTTCACCGCTGATTGTGTCTAACGATCACGGAAAAACCAGTGATCAGGCTTTCGGATAACCAACATTATGGACATTATGGATAACCACGCTTAAAAGGATTCCCAGGGGTTTGGGTTAATTCTCTGAGTTTTCCAGGACATTTCTAGGTGAAATCAAATTCCTGTAGGGTTCCCGGAGAGTATGATCATGGTGAGCATTATAACCACTCTTTTACCTAATATTTGGAGCTAACACGCCACCGTCAGCAGAACGTGACAAGTGCCGCTGCAGGTTGCAGGGGAGATTTAACAAACCAATTCCCCGATATACTCTGGCTTAGGTTCTAAAAATATCTGAAAAAGTAACTTCTTGAACAGTGTGATGTTCTAGTTAGCCTATTTCAGGCATCTTTAGCTAATTAACATAATCTGATTAAATGTAAAGCACGCATTCAATTTCTCTAAGCAAGCCAATTAAAAAGTCAGTTTTAAAAGACAGCAAAACAAAGAACAGAGAACAGAGAGAAAATTGTTTTACATTTTTTTGGTTCTGATTTTTTGAATTTCTGAAATTTAAAATCCTTAACTAAGTTTTATTGAAATAATAATTTGACTGTCTGAATGATAAGCAACCAATTTGATTGTTTCTTTCCAATTACCAGAGCAAATATTCCATGAACACCAAAAGGACCAGGGTGAAGTGGGGTAAGAGGAACAGATTTTAGCCTACAGTAGAACCTCGGTTAACCGAAACGGTTCCATAAAATAATGGCCTACATGACCAAAATATAAGAAAGTCTTGTAAAATGCTTATAAAAAAGTGTTAAAAAGTGTTTTCCAACCCATTGTAACATTTCTGTAGCTGAAATAAAACAGGTACTGTATTATAAAGACATGGTTTCAAATTCATTTTTCCAACACACTGTGGTAATATAGGCCTAGGCTATTTTTAGCATATTAGGGGTTAACAGAACAATTGGTTATCCGAAACGGCTACCCTCCCCCTTTTTTTGGGTTAACCGGGGCTCTACAGTAGTTGAACATTGACCTAACATTGCTCAGGTATTATTGGTACTACCTACTTGTAATAGTGAATTTTTTGTACCATAACTACAACTAATCAGCTTTTTAAAGACAAAAATTAACTTACAAAAAAATTCCTTTAAAAAAGTAAAAAAATTTAGTTTGACCTGTGAATTTACATCAAAAGGTCACATGTAAGCTTTTTTTTAATTTAAATTTGTTCATACCTATGTTATTTAGATTTTTAACACTAGAGATGTGCGAGTACTCGAGATTTCGAGTTCGAGTCGAGTATGGCCTTGAAACTCGAGTCGATCTTTGAACTCGACAGTTTCGAGTCGAGTTTGATTCAAAATTGCAAAATAATCAATGTATGTTAAACTGTGAATTGTATTGACATAAAATGCTGGTTAAGTTGTATTACTGTAGAAATAAGCAAGAGATAGTTGTCCTAACCTATTTTAAAGCTGTCCCGACAGAACAGGTCAACTCAACACAGCCATTTATAGCCGACTTCCGGGGCGGGACTGGCTTGGCTGGCATACTAATACTAAAGAAAGAAATAAAATGAAATGAATGATGCAATGACGACACAGCTGGCAGAACACCATGATCGGTACTACCAACATCTGAAGATGAAATCCAGTTCCAATTCACCAATGAATAATACAATGTTTGGAAATAACAAAAACAATTAATTGTTTTATTACTTATCCCTTTCCTCTCCCATAGTCAATCAATATGTGTTATGTGTAAAAACTTCTGAAGTATAATAATTACAATTATATAGTGACATAACAATTTTGTCTCTCAAGATAATATCTTATGCTATGTAGTATAGTATTTTATAATTTGTCATTGCTTTAAATTAACTGTTTTTACTTTTACAGTCATCTATAATCTTTGACTAATAACCCAATAGTCAATGATATTATCATTATGGAATATTTTGTTTACTCCATGGTTGAAATGTTGCTTTGGTGTGTTAGTTGTCTGCCGGTGAATAATGTAGGTACTCACTAATGTAGTGTTCTTCCGTCGTCCGTTCAAATCAAATCACGAAAGTTCAAAGTAGTTATAACTTAACTTATGTCTGGTTAAATAAATATGTAGTGCTTAAGTAGTGATTGTAGTTGTTAGCATAGATAAAAAATACGGTGTTAGACGGCAGATTACAGGTAATTTAAGTTAAAACAGTGGAATTATGTAAATCTTTACTGAAATGGAGGATGATCCAGACGATCCACAACCAGGGCCTTCTGGTGCTTCCAGTTTAAATCTTAACCAAAATGTAAGTAAATCTGTCGTTTGGAAATACTTTTCTAAACTCGACTCGACCAAAGCTTCTTGTAACAAATGCAAGAAAGTTGTCAAGACACCAACTGGCTCTACAACGAACTTAGGAAGGCATCTAAACATGCACCCAGTTGTATTAGGCGAATTTAAGAAAGCCCAGAAAGAGCAAGAAGAGAAAAGGTTGGCCTCAAAAACGGGAAAAGTAAACAAAAGCCAACTAAAACAACAAACTCTAACAGATATGACTATGGGAAATAAATGGGGGAAGGACCACCCTAAATCCAAAACTATAACAGGGTTGCCACCACAGTGGGATGATAAGATTCATGCAGAATTCATGGTTTTCATTGGTAGTTTACAAAGAATTCATGGTCGCTTATACAATTTCAACACAATTCAGTTTTGCCGATTTCATAAGCTGACGTTAAAGAGGTAGTTTCTTGGTGTTTCTTTTGAATAACCTTTCATACTTAATATACAAATTTTTTAGAGTGATTTATAAACATTCAAAACAAAGGTGAAAACAAAACTGGCCAGCTCATATTCTATATGAGATATTGGAGAAGAATTGTAAAATATATTAAGTCTAGGTCTAATTCAGTCTTTCCACCGGAATAAAACAAAAATCCCACTCACCCAGCCAAAAAAGCCTACATAATTGTCATAAAATGTGCATTCTGGTTTATCTTATTCCGCAACGTACTAAGATACATCCTACACTCATCTCCATTCATACTTGGCTTAAAATACCTACTATGTATGGTCGCCATTTCATAAAAAAGTAAAGTAAAGTATGATGGTTTTATCCAAAAAGCTAAAAAAGTCAGGCGACAGTCGGAAATTTGGTTTTATTGCGCACCCCGTTTCAATTCCGTGCATGGAACTTCTAAAACTTCTGTTTTTGTAATTTAAGTCCCCATACCCCTTTTTCATACGCAGGGGTTGGCCTACTAATGATTTTTCGAACCATATATAGTCCTCGGGAAGTTTCAGCTGACATCAGCATCTTTGAATGACTTGGAATGAAATAAGCAATTGTTTCTGACCGTGGAACATGTTAAATAATCATCTCCACAAAGTATTTTCATGGTGTTCGTTTCTATGAACTGTTTTTAAATATCAAATATTTTTTATTTGGAAAATTTAATGGTAGGCCTACTGGTTGAATAATTGTTTCTGATTTTGAAAATTCATGGTCCATTTGAGAAATCCATGCATAATCCATGCCTTTTTTCATGGTCACAAGAATTCATGCATAATTCAAGCTTTTCAAGGTTTTCATGGTTGGTGGCAACCCTGTATAACTAAGAAAATAGCATCATGGATGGCAAAATCTTGCCATCCCTACTCCTTGGTTGAGGAACAAGGTTTTAGGGATTTAATGAAAGAAGTGGTACCCTTATATGAAATCCCATCAAGGGTAACATTTTCTAGAAATATTATCCCAAACCTTTTTAATGAAACAAAGGCAAGACTAATGTCAGAAATAAGTGCTTCACTCCCTCATATTAAATCATTATCATTCACGTCTGATCTCTGGACATCAGGAGCTTCAGATAGTTACATATCATTAACTCTTCACTTAATGACAAAAGAATTTGACATCAAGAGGTATTCTTTAGGTACGTTCCACTTCCCAGAAGAACACACTGGTGATCAAATTAAAACCAAAATCACAGATACTCTGTCCGAATGGGAACTGAACTGTGAATTATACCCTACCTATATTACAACAGACAACGCGAGAAATATAACTTCAGCCTTTGGCCAAGGTAAGTCGTAGACTAGTATTGTTGAAAAATTTAAAATATAATTAAATAAAAAAGAACTTACATTTATGTGACGTAAGGAAGGTGATACAAAATATTTAGAAATATAGGGCCTAGGCTACCTGAAATAAATCGTTAATGGCAGAAAATATTAAACTAGGCTAGGCCTTAAATATTTTTAGGCTAGTTCTTTTACATTAAAGTAGGGAGTCAAGTGTTTAATAATACACATGCCTAAAGAGGAATGATAGGCATTTATATTGATAAGCCTATTGGGTTCTGAGTTCAGATATGCAAACAGGATGTTATTTTAGGCTAATACAAACTTATTTTAGGTCAACTTTGAAAATTAACTTTTAATGTCAGATATTAATTAGGGTACCGGTGTGTTTACATTTTCCAGGTTCAGTAAACAACATTCCTTGCTTTTCCCACACACTTCAGTTGTGCATAAAAGATATAAAACAAGAAATCCGTGGAATGCAAAGCCTCCTAACTAAATGTCGAGCCATTGTTGGACATTATAAACATAGTCCCAAAGCCATGAGAAGTTTGGAGGAATTCCAGAAGACAATGAAAGTACCTTGTCATACATTATACCAAGATGTGGATACTAGATGGAATAGTGAATTTATCATGTTGGAAAGGTAGGCCTAACATTTAAAATTGTTCTTTTTGTAGTATGAGTGAGTGTATCCCCCTAACTGAAAACAATCATGTAGTGAATGTTTTAATATAATTTTCATTTAAATTAATAGCTTTGGTTTTTATCTGTGATTAATTAATTACATTTTTATCTATTGGATCTGAGGGATATTATCATTTTCAGTAACAGATCTATATTAAACTATTTTCATTTAAAAATCAAAATTTGATTTTGAACGTCAGTTTTAAACTTATTCATATTAAAACAAAAGTATCTAATAATATTAAAAAAAAAAAAACATGCTCAATGAACTGTGAAACATGCAGTGACCTTTTAGTTTAGGCCTAGTTACAAAAAGATAGCCTACATGAGATCTATATTTTTGTTTTTATAATACGGTAATTATTTATTCCTATGTTTCAGGCTCATAGAGCAGAGGGGGCCAATATCTGCTGAGTTAGCTGCAGCTAACTCAAGAGTTGCAAACCTTACATCAGACGAGTGGGCAATTGCTGAGAGCTATTGCAAGGTTCTTCAACCAATTCACCATGCTACAAATGTCATTTCAGAGGACATTTTTCCAACAATGTCAAGTAAATTCCCCATTTTGTACGGGATAGATAAATATTTAACAAAAGTAATTCAAGAAAAAGAGCGGGGGTCTGTAATGCTTGCTCGATCGTTGCAAAAATCCCTGCTAACAAGGTTTCCCGCTTTCAAAAGTGAGAAATTAACGGTGTTGTCCATGGTCATCGACCCTCGATTTAAGAGTGCTCTTCTAGAGCCTCATGAGAAGCTACTTGCAAGAATGTGGTTACTTGAGGAAGTAAACGCTCATTTGGATTTGGAGACAAATCCAGAAAATTCAGACAATCCACTCCGAGAGCCAGAAGATCAACAAATGGAACCTGTAAATCTGCTATTTCAAGACATAGATAAATTAATAAGTACCCAATCAGCTACAACCAGAGATAAAATTGATATGGTTGTTAATTCATATCTGTCAACACCTTGCATTCATCGCAAGGATAATCCATGTGAGTGGTGGAAAAAAAACAGTGCTGAATATCAACTATTAGTACCACTAGCTATGCATTACCTGCCAATTCCTGTTACATCTGTTGCAAGTGAAAGACTATTTTCTGCAGCGGGTAATGTAGTAACAAAAAGAAGACATAATCTTCTGACTGACCATGTAGAAGAGCTTGTTTTTCTTCATGAAAACTTACATTAAATGAAGGGGTTAATCTGGATTGAATACAATGGATTATAGTGAATAGTAGATAATCGTGTAACGTGTAAGTCTAGGTTACATTTGATTTCTGTAGCCTAACTACTATTTTATGGGCCTAGTACATTATTGAGTACCTACCTACTTATTTGATCTACAATTGTTTTGTTAAACAATAAGATAGGCGATTTGTATTTATTTTAAGGTTGTCTTGGGTAGGCTACTTTATTTTTGACATACATTTCAACAAAATGTTGACTATCAACTGACAAGATATAATCTTCTGACTGACCATGTAGAAGAGCTTGTTTTCCTTCATGAAAATGTTAAGTTAGCTTACTTAAAATGGTTGGTTTACCTGGATTAAATGCAATGGATTTAAGCATTTAAGGATTTAAGTGAATTAGGCCTGAATAAAGGTTACATAGTTTCATAGTTTGTTTTCTTCTTGTTTTCTTGGAAACTTACATTAATAATTATGTATATCTGCATTAAATACAATAGATTATAGTGAATTACATCACAATGTGTAATTAAATTGTGAAACCTGTGTGTTGAAACTTTGTGTGTTGAATTAGGCCTAAGTTACATTTGATTACTATAACTACTATTCTATTATTAAGCCTATTATTTTAAGCTACTTGTATTTTTCAACACACATTTTTAGTATTTAACAGAATTTTTGTTTACTACTATTTTAAGACAAGATAAAAAATATATAGTTTTAATTCATTTAAAATGTTCTTTTTCCTTTACCTACTGTCACATCATCTGTCACTTTTTCTGAATAAGGAAATTTTGTAGGCCTACTGCTACAAAAACCACACCAACTAAGAATGGTAATAAACTTATAAGACTAAAGGTGAAAAGGTATGAAATAAAATTTCAAGTTGTAGAATAAATCTCTTTATTAAACTTAATAGCTAATAGATGCAAGTATTAAGTATTGTTATCCAAGTATTATGCAATATTACTTATCAGTAGGGATTAATGATTAATCTAACTATTTTTTGGATGGATAAAAAACTCACTTACTTACCTGTTTTTCACAGAAGTAAAAAATGTTCATTTATGAGCTCTATTATTGTTGATTTTAAATGATTTTATGTGTTATATTGATATAGTACTGCACAAATAAATATTGATAATTCATTTCCTTGTAATAGTACTTCAACTTGTAAGAAGGATTTTACAAGTTTCATGATCTGGGCCTAAGGTGTTACTTAAAATAACACATCCATAGATCTTTTTGGTTTAAACTCGACTCGAACTCGAGAATCGGATCTTTTGCCAATTACTCGACTCGAACTCGACTCGACCTGAAAAACCTGTACTCGCACATCTCTATTTAACACCTTCAGTACGAGGGGCGGGAAATGTCGTCCTTCACCAATGCCAACAATCTTGCTTCAATGTGAGCTCAACCATTGCCGGGGAACGTTGTAATCATTCCTAGCCTGTAGCTTAGAATGCGAGCTTCATTCTGGTGTATGTTGGTACTAAATTGTTCCGTTCCAATGCAATGCCTTGGTCCCGGTTCCGGGGATTTTCTCTCTTCGAGCCACATTACAAAGACACTGGCTACAGATCCAGGCAGTGCTGCTACCTTCGGGTGTTTCAGTGAACTACGTCCACTCTCAAAGTAGGTAACGCAGCACAATCACCGCTGCTCTTTTTTTTTATTTGTCAGACTGAAATATTTGAATGCCAATTGCGTTCGCCGATTCGAATGCGCGCTGGTGCTTTGCCCGGGCCTCACCATCATTGGCCTGTTTGAAGGTATGCCGCACTGAACGTGTTAAGGTTAAGAACCTTAAAACAAGGTCCAGAGAATACAATATGATGGTAATTAAGCTGAAAATTATCTTATCAGTTGATTGATAAGCTGCGGTTACACTTGCCCCCTGGTTCCACTTACCCCACTTCACCCTATCTGAAGTAAATCTTGGAACTTACCGTACCAGAATATTCCCTTACACGTTGTTTGGATTTTCTGAGTAGGTAGCCAAAGAACTCCTTGGAAAAATTAAAACATTTATCCCTGTTCTCCTGACCGCAAAACCTGGTTCCCAATTCGCTAAGCTTTACCATCTTTTGTTTAAAAAAGTCGGCTTTAATGTACCGAATTTCAGCATGTTGCATTTACAACTTGCTAACTTACTTGGTTGATACGGATATTCCGTCAATCGTTTTAAGTTTACATACTGTTGAAAGAACCCCAGAGGATCTATCATGGTTTGACAGTGAAATCCACAGTTTTCCCTTCACGGTTGAGTGTGTAACCCTGCCGAATGTTTGTACAATAATATTGCTTTACTCACAGGTTCTTTTTTGGCGGCCTTTTTTGGTTTGACAGGAGCCTTTTTCTTCTCTGAGCTTTCCTCCCCATTTTCAACCACCTCCTCTTCTTTTTCTTCTTCTGAAGGGTTCTCCTCGGGTTTCTGAAAATACAAGTAGGTAACATTATATAGACAAAAATTCCAAATACAAGGATTAGGAATCAAAACAGTTAATCTTACCATTACCAATTAAGTTAATCAGGGTACCAGTTTAAGAATGTAGAAATTGAATGGCATTGCTACATTAACAAATTTACAAAGACATGATGCATGGATTCATTAATTTACAGGCAAATCTAGAAAACTCTTAAGTTTAACCCTACCAAGACGGGTGATGAATATAAATATTTGATGCTTGTAAATGTTACGGATGGGAGGGAGATACTTCACGGCTGCTTCTGTAGACAGACTGGTTGGCACTAATACAGTACAGTAATCAGCTGATCCGGGCTACTATCGCACTATTTTTCAGTGATTTGAATTGTTGTTACATAGAATGTGGAATATCTGTAGGTGCACCTAACACTGCACCTAACATGTAATTTTTTTACGTGGTTCTGGCTGTATATTGACTTACTATGCAAGGAAACTGTACCGTACCGTAACAAAATAGCTCAGAATCATCTCCTGAGCTTCAGGACGGAATCATTTTGTCATGCTGAGCTTAATTATATAAGCAGTCTCATTCGACAGTAGCTACATAGGAAGTTAACAAATATAATTGTAGGGCTTGTAAGCACAATTCAACTGTGTGAATCTATGGCCTGTTATTGAACTTTACAAGAAAACGACAGTGATAAATTAATTAGGCCTAAATATGACGTGGAAAGCGAAAAGGGACCTCTTGTCTGGAATTTTTGATTTTGAGCCAAGTTATAGGCCTACGGTATGTATATTATATTTGAATTCCTTTTTAAATTCCGAATTACTTGGTGCAAGTCTCTTGCATCTACGATGTTAAAGTTATAGGAGTTTGAATTTTTTTATGGAGTGGGTCATATAGAGAAAACTATTTTGAAAATTTCAATTATAAACATAAAAACAGCTTTTTATTTATAGGCCTATTTATGGGACAATTTTGGTATCAACAGAAAGCTTCTAATGTCCTCTTTGGAAGCAATACAAATTTTTGTCTTAGCTCACAGGGGTTTTCATTTCAGAAAAAGGGACCTCTTGGCGGTCCTATGTTACTTCTTCATAAGATAAAAAAGGCACCACTTGAAGGACCACAAAATTTGTGAGATATTTTGGTCTCTGTAAACTGAACTTTGTTGTAGTCCTCTAAATTCCCAATAGAATGCAGTACAATTCATTTTTTGGACTAAAGCCTGTTTATAAAGTGAATATTAGAAATTAAACCTCTTGTTGTTAGGGCGAAATAACATTGAGCGACAACAGGTAGGTACCTTTTCCCAGATCGTGCAGGACTAACAAAAAGATTTATTTCAACCTTTTACATCTTACAAATCCATAATTTAACCGATACTGTCCTGTTCTAAGTTAAACGAGATATAACAATCAATATACCGGTGCTTAAATCAAAATTTTGGTATTTTTTACCGTAATTACTTAGCCTATATCGACCGTGCCGGTACCGAAAATTTTGCATCGTCGACAAGAGGTCCCTTTTTATATAGGCTAACTATTTAAATTTTGAGTCTATGCCTACCTTTTCTTTGGATTTGCCGGTAGTCTTGATAGCCTTCTTCTTAGCGGATGGATCGTCTACTCCATTCTCTTGGCTGGTGTTTTCTGTGTTGTCATTTGTAACACTCTCAGCCTCGACCTCCTGAAAATAATCTATTGTAACATAGGCCTAACCATAATTTTTTAGACTAGGCCTATTGCCAAAAATACAGACAAGTAGGCCTAAGCTATTTTTTTACATTCATTTTCATACGTAGGTTAAGTTAGAAAAACTCCATATAAAATAACCAAATTATCTAAATGGGCTATGATAGCGTACAAAATTGCAAAATGGCGGCCATTTACAATTTTTATAAAATCAGGCATTCTTTGGTAGGGTCAACGTGGGTAATTGTGAACACCAATGTACTACATGTTCCACAGTACATTTCACCGCATCCAACTCTTGGCCAACAGCTTACCGGAAGATACCGACCTCTTCTCCACCAGTGGCGAGTCGTTAAAAAGGTTGTTACTTGATCTGTGAGGCGCTGCCTTGATTTGTTGTTTAAGTAAAATAGTATCAGTTTATTTATTTATTACTATATAGTGGTTTAAATTACCTTGTTACTGTCAAAACGATCCTTTGTAGTTAGTAGACTACAGCTGTTTCATGCTACGAATGGAGCACATCATCAGGTCAGAAGAATGTCAAGTAGTCTTCATATTCCTCGCAGTGGAGTTCGTCAAAAGTTTAATAATAAATAGAGGACAAAACACATAACACACGGAAACACGAAACATTTAATATTGGTCGACCAGACGACGGTAACAACACACGTGATACGGCGCCGGTAGAGGGTGAGTCGCGACTGTCACGTGCCGTTGGCGTTGACCCCTACTCCTACTCCACTGTTATCCTTATCTCGTTCCTTTGTTTTCTGTTTATTGTGTATATGAATAGCGGTGTTGTAGATGATGTTTGATTCGAATGATAATTGTTCATTTAATATATTCTGTGGTTGTTCTTTTGACGCCTTGTAGATTTCAAACTCCTCAACTGTATCCATGTATCGTCCTTTATTGCAGAGTTGTACTATTTCTAAATTATTGTCGATATTTGTGTAATTATGGTTGGACGAAATTAAGTGGTTTGCATACGCTGATTTGGAATTTTTCTTTGGCATATGTTCCTTAAACCTGATGGAAAAAGATCTTGATGTTTGGCCTATGTAAAAATTTGGGACAATCGTCACATTTTAGTTTGTAAATTCCTGTTTTGTCCATTGTATTAGTTCTAGACGGTTGTCGTTCTTTGACGATGGTAGACAGTTTATTGTTAGTTTTGAAAGATACGACAACATCATTCTTAGCCAATTCTTTGGTCAAGGTGTGGTTCAGTACGACACCGTAGTTCGCACTTACGTATATTTTACTCTTATCATGTGGCTTATTATCATTTCTATTGCATTTCTTTATCAGTTTGTCAATCAAGGAACTGTTATAGCCATTGGCGATTGCTATATGTTTTAACGTATTTACTTCGTCGTTGTAATCAGTTGCACTCATTGGGATGGAGAGTAAGCGGTGTACAAAACTATTGTATGCAGCTGTTTTATGGTTATGTGGATGATGTGATAATGAATGGATCGTCTGATCTGTGGTGGTTGGTTTTCTGTAGATTTTAAATTGCAATTGGCTGTTGTATCTGGTAATGGTAACGTCTAGGAAATTAATGGATTTATTTTCTTCAATTTCAAGGGTAAACTGTAGGTTTTTGTGGAATCTATTTAAGTATGCCTGGAGTAAGCTGATTTGTCTCTCGTTGCCATTGAAAAGTATGAGGGTGTCGTCAACATATCTGCTATAGTGGATTATTTTATTGAGGTGTCGGTTGGAATCAGACCAAAGGTGTTCATTTTCTACATGGTTCAGGAATAACTCTGCGAGAATACTAGAAAGAGGTGAACCCATTGTTAGTCCCTCGTTCTGGATATAATATTTATTTTCGAATTCAAAATAATTCTGTTTCAGAACACTCCTTCTTATTTATTACGATTGTTATATTTTTCTATTGTAGTATTATTATTGTTATATATTATTGTCATTATTTGTTCCTGTTGTACTTATTATTGTTGCTATTGTATTTGTTGCTGTTGTTGTTTGTTGTTGTTGTTGTTATTATTAGCGAATTTCCCTATAGGGAAGTAGCTATTACCGTAGGTCTCATGGTAAGACTTAGGCCCGGGCCCGATTTACTTTTTCATTTTGATGTCCTCAGAGGCCAAAAACACCATTCGTTCAAATTTTTGTATATATATATATATATATATATATATAGATTTATATATATATATATATATATATGTGTCCGTGAACACGATAACTTGAGTAATTTTTATCCGATTTTGATGAAATTTGGTTTGAAGGTGTAAGGCGGGATAAACTTGAATGAGTTCGCGATCCAGCATGATCGGACCATGGGAACAGGGTTTTATGGGGGGTTTTTTGGGGTAAAAATTGGTTTTTCTCACTTTTGACCCTCAAAACACAAAATTTCCCAATTTTTCTCTAAACCTTCTTAAAGAGCTTAAAAAAACAAACAATTCAGTATATCAAAGTGTTTTTGTACGGTTATTGGTTACGGAGAAAACTAAAAAAATGGTAAATTTAAAATTCCCATGTTATTCTTATGGAGAATATTGTAAAATGTTGTAGTTTGCTTGTTTATGGATATATTTTGATCAAACTTAGCAAATTTATTTATTTTATAGTAAGCTATCAATATTTTACTAAAAACACACTTTATTAGTTTCCTTGTAGCAGCAAACCTAGGTACTCGTTAAACCTAATGTTATTTAAATAGATCAATTGAAAATCAATTCAGCTAAATGGAAATTCGCTTAGACGGCAGGTTTGCTGCAGCGGGGGTATTTTTGTTATCTTTGTTGGCTACAGATTTTTATTCAATGTTAATTATATCTAAGATTTATCATTGTTAGTCAACATTGCTCAGATTGTAGTTTGTTGTTTGTTGTTAAGTTCTCTCTGTTAAGTAGAATCTTATGCCCCTTTACATGTTTGGCTTGACCCTTTGTTATGTATTTTGACGTTTTTTGACCATTGGACCACTTTTGAGCTACATAGCTCAGTTATGATCGATATGACCCATATGAGAGTATAAATACCTTGTCCCTTACTATGTAAGGAACATGTTTAGGAAATAAAATCCAAAAATTAAACAAGTGATTTTCCTGAAATCGCCAGCAATCGATTGTATTTTGACCATTGGACCACTATTGAGCTGAGCTCAGTTAGCCTACGATCTATATCACCCATATGCAAGTATAAATACCTAGTCCTTTACTATGTAAGGAACGTATTAAGGTAATAGAATCAAAAATTAGAGATCAATTTTTCTGAAATTGCCAGCAATAGATTGTATTTTGACATTTTTTGACCACTTATGAGCTACGTAGCTCAGTTATGATCGATATCACCCATATGCAAGTATATATAAGTACCTAGTCCTTTACTATGTAAGGAAAGTATTAAGGTAATAAAATCCAAAATTTAATGATCATTTTTTCTGAAATCGCCAGCAATAGATTCATTTTAAGTGATTTTCTATCATAGGATCTCTTTCAAGCTACATATATAAGCTATGATCGAGTTAGCTCTTATAAGGGATATAGGTATATATTATCTTGTATTTTACTATGTTACTAACATAATAAAACAACAAGGCAATAATTTGTTTATGCAGTTTTATACATATATATTAGAGAACTAGTATACTCAACGCTCTGCGGGTGCCATGAAACCTCATTTTGGCCGCGTTTTGATTTCGAAGAAAAAAATTTCCCGCCACTGATTATTTGGAGGTTATGTTAACCTAGTGATGACATAGTCAGACTGAGGTATGACGTTTTACTGTGACGTGAGATCGTCGGAGGGGCGGTACGAGAAGTGGGCGGAGTTATTGCTGATCTATTGCCAGTTTCACGACGATCGTAGGCCTAAGCTAGGAAAAATTGTTCCAGGGTTTTTTCCATTAATGGTAGATTTGTGTTAAGAAAATCTTTTAACTTAGGGCCTAGACCTTATGTTGCATTAAGCAACTTGTGCTGCTCTACTGGTCTCGGTCTAGGAGGAAGTAGGGGGGTAGCGGATTTTTATCCCCCTGGAATTTTACCCCCTGTGCAAACGTGACATCACAAACCAGGGGGTAAAATTCCGGCCACAAACTTTTGAGTTTCGCGACATCAGCTCGATGGATTAAACGCGGAATTAAACATATATTTTCACGGTTGTGAATTTAATCAGAACACATGTAATTATAAAAACCTAGAGTGTACGGCCCGGATTTTTACCCCCGGAATTTTACCCCCTAGCCAGATATATAAATTAGTGAGAATAATTAATTATCTTCATTCTGTTTTAATTTAATAGTAAACATTTCATTACTTATTATGTAGCCTACTGTAGGTACATTAATTTAGGCCTACTATTTGTAACATTATCTAATCGGACAAGTTTTTAATTTTAATTTTGAGATTCTAGTATTAGGATTCGATCTTTGAAGCCAACAGTTGGTTAATATGGCGTAAACAATCAAATGAATGATAATTGTTTCGAACATTTCTTTACAAAATAAATAAATAAAGATAGGGTCTATCCATATCATATTAGTTAGTGAGTCGGTGGCTCAGTCGGTAGCGTCGCGGACTTCGGGCCCAAGGCAGCGATGTCGTGGGTTCGGATCCTGGTCACTGCCGATAACATTTTATCAGTACAGTTCACCTTTGTACTGTACCGGCTCACTCCTTGCTTTGCTGTAAACGATCCACGCACGGGCGCTTAGTCTATGTGGACGGGCAAATGCAAGGTTAAAAGAGGCCGCCAACCTCTTTTTTTAAAATAAAAAAAAAAAAAATATATCAAGTGATCCAACAGGGGTTGCTTGACCATTTTTAAAATAAATAATATGTTTATCCTTTATCAATTCTGGGTTCAAAAGTGATTTAAAAATTTTTTTATCTATTTTGTTACTCCTACGGCGGCCATTTTTGTTTTGCAGAACACGCAAATCTTTGCTCATGTAAGGGTTTGCGTTAACTTGCACAACTTGGTAACCATGAACACTAGAGTGATGAAACAAAA